CGACACGCTCTCAACGGCGAGCGCGTTTAGTGGAGATTTCAGTGCGGGCGAGTTTATTTCACTTCTAGAAGTTAATATTTCAGTGTGGGCCAATCGCAGCACCGAACGCGCTCACCCTGACCATCGAGTAGATGTGAAATAAACTCGCACTTAGCTGTCTGGGCTCAAATGTGTTTGTGAATGCTGATGGCTCGCAAGCCCGCCACCTGTGGGATGATAGGGCATCATCGGTGACCGGCGTACAGACATGCCTGCTCGAGACCTTGTCTCCTTGCCAAACCCTACCAGACCGGATGAAAAAATAATATCGAACTGTGATGTCATCACAGAAAGGTAGTGTCACTGACACTGGCTGGGCCATCATCAGGAATTGTAATTTTGATAACATAAAAGTCGCTGATTTTATGTTTTAAATTGACTTGCGTTTCAGCTTATTATGGAACTCAAAAGTTTCAAAGTTTTTTTACTATATTGGGTGCATTAGCGTTCGGGTTGACCGCTCGGGTTAATAATTTTGCTCTATATGTTATTATGTACGTACTATTAATTTTTAAAGAATGAAAGAATGAAAGAAAGCAGACTTAGCTTTTTTTAAATTCGGTGTTGAAATAGGCGTTGGTCTTTCAACTCACCAGATAGAAAGTTTCAATGACGATAAAGGTTATATTAACAGCTGTTTTTTTATGGTTTAAGGGAGTAAACGAACAGACGGGTCACCTGATGGTAAGCAACTACTGCCGCCCATGGACACCTGCAACCCAAAAGTCACAAGTGCGTTGCCGCCCTTGGAGTCCCTCCCGTTCGAGGTGGAGGGGGGATTTGGGCTTCGGTAACCTCACTCACTCAGTGAAAGGCAACGAAAGAATTGCTTAACATCGGTTTTCTGTGTGGCCGTGGTATCACTCCGGTCGAGCCGGCCCATTCGTGCCGAAGCATGGCTTTCCCAGGGTCAAAGTTTCATTGGTGTCAGCTCTGTCCCACTAAATATTAGCTTTATTGGTCTATTTTTTAGATTCAACATGAGTTTTGTTTATCTGTAGATATTCTAAGTCACCTATTATCTTAAAATAATAATAATAATATTATCTTAAAACTATTAACGCTTTACGATATTCACTACACGACCCAAAAATATAAGAAACATCTTTCTGTAACAAATACCTGTACAAAAACAATATTCGTAATCAACTATTTTCTCACGCTCTTCGTAGAATAGATAGTAAAGGCCAGACACGTGCTGCCATCTATTAAAGAGTTACTTTACGCAAATAAAACAAGTAAATTTTATACAAAATAACACATTTTATTCCCAGACAACACAACACATATATGATTCATATTCCATCACAAACGTTAGTAAATTGCAATTAACAATCTTGTATTAAAATATATTAGTTTTAAATAATAATTACAATAAACTCTTAACATCAAAAATAAATAATTTAATATTATGCACTTAGGAATCTTCATTTCATTTTATAATAATATTGATTACATGTATTTTTGTTTTTTAACAGTGACTTTATACTTAAAGGCAAAACGTTTATTTACAAGTTTTTATTAAAGTTTGTTGTTAAGAAGTTTAAATATACTTATACCCATTTTTATATACATTATTATGAGGTCTTAAGATTATCGTATTTGCGATAATTATTGGTAAACAGGTAACATTACATGCTTAATATTTAGAATAATAATTAGAAAATGCTATAAGGCAGTTATTTTTCTCCGGAATACGGGCGTTTTGCGGCAATTTTATTAACAGAGCAATGTAAACGATTACAAAAACCAGTACTTTTATTAACAAAAATTAATTTCGTTGACCGAAAATTGAACAAACATATAATGTGATGTTTATAATAATATAGCTATTAAAAATGTCTTTGTACGATAATATTTAAACACTTTAAAATATTTGTACACTTTCACATAAATGAAACATCGAATATCAATTTTTGGTCTTAGTTTAGAACAAACCAGAACCCATTTCTGGTTTAAAACTGTTAGATAGCTCCGGTGGTTTATTGGAATGATATGATTTTATTTTGGAATGAAAACAGAGAAGACAGAACTAGTGCTAGAAATAAGTATAAAATTGACAGAAGAAACAGAAGTAATGTATGATATACATAGAGCACTCATTTGTTACTTAATTTTATACAGATTTATTTAAACATTGAACAACATGTAGACACAGTTTAAAAAACAATATAAATTAACATTAATGATCTGGAAATCACACACAATTAAATATTTTATAATACTTTATGAGTTATTCATTACAGGATAATATTTAATGAGGTAAAAAGAGCGGTTTTGTTAGTTAGACATACTTTCTTTACTTTAATTCTAATCTTTACTTAATTTATTTTCTTGAATGATATCAATTCTTGGTAAGATTAAATTCGGTCGAAAATAGTTATATGTATAGAACTAAGTTGCTTAATAAACAAATTAGACAGATTAGTCTGCAGTTTACGTATGTATACCTCAACTAATTTTAAAAGAATGTTATGTTCATAACGCCATCTGTTTCATTTTAATAATATTTTTAAATAGTCATTTAAAAGTACAACAAACAGCGCTACATAGTTAGTATTAATACCACAAAGTAATTGAAATAAATAATAATCTAGTAAATATTATCAAAATCGGCCCGGCCGTCTTGAAGATTACCCGGAACGAACACAGACAAAGTAGCTAGCTTTTTTAATATGTACAGAGGGACTGTTTGTAAATAGCACCACTAAAAATACGTTTCTTACGATATTGTTTTAGGACGAAGCGTGGCAATAGGACTTAATACGTACATCTTAAACAGTTCTGCCTGTCTCATAGTCATGTTTAAGCTATAATAATTACAGTATTAAATATGGTAAACATTTAATAATTTACACGGGGATTAACACACCTTAGAATGGCCTGACGTTTTGACCAAGTTTACATTGGTTTACATTAAGTACTATGTTTGTAAATAATTAAATAAAACCAGTCTGTGTAAGACCAAAGTATTGGAATGATATGTGATCTTTTATATTTACATGGTATTATTTAATATTATGTAATGTTGGTATGAATTCTTATAACTTTGGCGATTATTTCTTAATATATATTTTAAATAAAAACCCATTGAATTTGGTTTTAATAATAATTAAAACGTGCCCTGAACTCTCTTTCAGGGTAAAAAGAGTAATTTTTTAGGAGTGCATTTGTTACTTCAGCCGTTGTACACTGTTTTGTCTGATAAAAGATATATAGAAAATAGAAATTGGTATATACGACATTGGTTTTTAATTTCTTTATTTTTAAAGTCGGTAGACGTCAAATGCTCCAAAAGGTTCTAAGTATGAATCCTTAGCAGACCAGTTAATGCCTAATAACGCCCTAATACAAAAAAATATTTACAGGTATTTAATGATAAGAGTATTTGGACGGAACAGTATTTTTTAATCTACTTTTGTAACTGGAATAAATTTACGTATTGAATAATTTTACTGCAGCAGTTCGAAACTTTTCTCTTCAGTTTTTTTAAGAAGGTACTCAATCATCAACATCCTTTAGCAGTCTACTGCTGGGCATAGGCCTCTCCTTAAAAAGGTTTTGGCCTAATATACCACGCTGGCCAGAGTGTTTGGTATAGGGTCTGTGTCAAGTTTGCCTTCTCTTTGCGGTGCCGTTGTTCTGCGTAGTTTGCTACCTTAGTCGGTTCTAAGACACCCACGGGATAAACAGGGGTGGTGACACTCTGTATTCTTAATCCGTCACCACACGGATAAATAGACAATATAATTAGATTATTTTTTAAATGACTTAACAAAAAAGGAAATAATGTTGTGACTGAATTATCTTGTTAGATGTCTATTGTTAAACTAAAGCGAAATCTTTCTAACTGGAATCGGTCACTGAGTTCTAGACTAGAAGAATTGTGAAAAAAAAACGGTCAAGCATTTTACTATGAACGTAATGTAACTGGTAATAATAAAAATAAAAGAAACTAATTATTCAACGACGTATCCCTCAACTGTGCTCTACAAAGGATAAAACACAATAAATACTTTAGATAACTATTAAACCATTCATATCATATTCACTGCACCGTGACACACGGGTTTTACACAATCTAACTAAAAGGCGAACTTCACAGTAGACGCATATGATGGGTTACATCTGATATCTCACATAACATCTGAGTTTATTGCTGAAATCTAATAGCACGCTTCTACGTGAGGACATGGTCTCACTCCAGTCGAGTCTGGTCTAGATGTGTCAAAGCATGGCTCTCCCACGGTAAATGTCTTCCCTTTTCCTTAAATCACCCCCACAAAATGGAGAGGAAAGATATTACACATGATTACATATAAAAATGAATTTCTAGATGTTTGTATATGTCTCTTCGAAAAATATCTAAACCTTTTTACGTATTACGGAATTGGCAAAACCATATTTGTTTACAAAAAATAGAATTTAGAAAAATATTTGAAATTCATTAAATATGTATTTCTAGAAGAGTTAGTATAATCTCTGTAGGTAACTTACTATATTCACACAGGGCACTATAATTGTCATTTATTAACTATCAGATTTCTACCGTTCGCTAAACAAAAGGGCATCAATTTAATACAACTTATATACTTTATTCAGAGGTATAGACACAGCATCCAGGGTGCTTGATTAGAAAAAAACAATACTAGCCCTATCTCAAGCAATGCTTCCTATCAGGCTTAAAAAAAAACTATTAAAATACATAAATCTTCGACCATTTTAGTTAGCGAACGTCAGATTTGTACACTTACAGTTAACCTAACATTTACTTATTTATTATAAACAGTATATTTTTATAGGCAACACCGAGCAATAGCACACTTTAAAAAAGGAATCAACCAGATATTCCCAAGCACTTTAAACAAATAATTCTGAACACCTGATAAATATGGCAACTCCCAACAAATATATATTTTTTAATGGCAGCATAATTCCCAGAATTAGCCCACTGATGGGAATCACGTCCAAAGAGATGTGGGCATCATACCTTCCATAGTAACAGTCCTGGGTGTTAGTACTTCGTTGCATAAGAATTCTAATGGCATATCAACTAGGTAACCTTGTATGAGATCTATTTTGCGATTAGCTAATGTCGGGTCTGAGTGCCAGAGAGATTCATGATGCTCTTCTTGGTACTTCTTCAGTTCGGCAAATGTGTGGACTCGGTCGGTTGGTATTGTATGGAATACCTAGAAATTGAAAAATATATAATTGTTGGTACAAGAATATTTTTTTTACAGTTTTGCACTTAAATGTTGTATTTGCATTCTATTTTATGGTATAGGAGCTAGCAACGTTTTCGAGAAAGAATTTTAGGTCAGCTGATTTTGTGATATGTCGTCCTTCTTGCACTTTCGGTTAGACTCTGGGCTATCTGGCTGGCGGTAGCGGTTGCGTTCATTAGTGCGCATCCTACCTGTCCAGGTAGTAATCCTGTATTTTAAAACCATTTTAGAAGGCGTAATTTTTAATTTTTTGTTTTTAAATAAGTCTACCTGACATACTTTTTTTATTGCCAGACATTTTTGACAATGCTAACTATGTGCCATACGCGATTTTATTTTATTTTTTTATAAAAATTTCAAAGTATTTTATAATGTTTGTAATTTTAATATTATGTTATTTAAGATGAGAAAAACTTAAAATAAATTTGCCAGACATTAATTCGATTGTTAAGTCTTGAATTAAAATTAAAAAGTCATGAAAAGTATTGCAGTATAATGCTAGTAGTCCGAAGCTGATTCTAGGATTTTTTTCATATTTGCCAAATCGATTTTGACGCAGACGTTGTTATACGCTGTTCTGATTCTGATATTTTAATTATACTTCTGGGAAATATGGATCACCTGAAAGCATCTTTGAAAATTTGGATAAATATGGGTGTTGGAAATCATCAGCGTTACATAAACATCAATGAATTACACCGAATTCTTGGTGACTCTTTATGCAAAGCTTTACCATGCTTCCACGCAATAACCGGATGTGATTACACGCCAGCTTTTTTTAGAAAAGGCAAAGTTAAGCCTTTTAAAATATTAGAAAATTCTAAAGAATACAAGTTAGCTTTTGATAATATTATTACGGATGACGAAGAAATACTTGAAACTACGTTTGTAACCCTGGAGAAATTTATTTGTCAAATGTATGGAGTTAAAAATTGTTCCAATGTTAATGATGTTCGATTTCATTTATTTTCAAGTACGTTTAAGTCTAAAAAATCAGATGAGAACTTCAACAAAAAATTTCGAAACTTTGACTCATCCAGTTTGCCACCCTGTAAAGCGGAATTGCAACAGCATTTATTGAGGGTTCGTTACGTGACGAAAATTTGGAGAAATGCTCACTCAAAACATCCAACATATTTATCTCCAATGACTTTCGGTTGGACCATTAACGGTGACAAATATGATTTTGTCTGGTTTTTGGGAGATCAATTACCATCCTCAGTTGCAGATATTATTGTTCAAAGTAAGTGTGAAATGGAATATTTATCAATAATAACTAAAATGTTTTATAACGAACTAGAAGAATTACACTGCTTATTTTTTTTCTGTTGCAGATGATAGAGTTTTAGAAGATAACGAAAGTTCCCAAGAAGATGACATGAATGACACTGACAAAGACAGCGACGATGATGATGATGATTATGAAGATGCCTCTTTTTTTTGTAACTTTGGTTGAAATAACTTGAAAAACTTAATATTAATTTATTTATAATTTACATTAAAAAAAAGTGTTGTTTATTTAAATAAAAAGTGTTGTTTTTTAAATTTTAATCTATTTTTTTTTTTATATTTATTAATAAAAGGACTTTGTCGCTGAGCGACTACATCGTCCCATATGGACTAATCTAATTTTATATTCCTTTTTATGCTTAAATTTTTTTTTGAAACTTGCTCTGACTAGAATGATGATTATTATTATTCTTATTCTTATTATTTTTTTTTAATTATATGCACAGTGAAAAGTAATTTACTTTCGTAATGGTTCTCTGTATCATTCTCGACTTATTCTGCAACTATCTCTCTCGGACTACTAGCATTATACTGCAATACTTTTCATGACTTTTTAATTTTAATTCAAGACTTAACAATCGAATTAATGTCTGGCAAATTTATTTTAAGTTTTTCTTATCTTAAATAACATAATATTAAAGTTACAGACATTATAAAATACTTTGAATTTTTTATAAAAAAATAAAATAAAATCGCGTATGGCACATAGTTAGCATTGTCAAAAATGTCTGGCAATAAAAAAAGTATGTCAGGTAGACTTATTTAAAAACAAAAAATTAAAAATTACGCCTTCTAAAATGGTTTTAAAATACAGGGTTACTACCTGGACAGGTAGGATGCGCACTAATGAACGCAACCGCTACCGCCAGCCAGATAGCCCAGAGTCTAACCGAAAGTGCAAGAAGGACGACATATCACAAAATCAGCTGACCTAAAATTCTTACTTTCCAAACGTTGCTAGCTCCCGTACCATTATATTACAAAGTAAGCAGACAGGTCACCTGATGGTGAAAATGTATCAACCATGGACATCTGCAACTTTAAAGAGTCAGTCAGCCTTTTGTGCTTCTCTCAAGGTGTGGGTGTGGTGGGTTTTCTGTGAAACTGTATCTGTATTTGTCCGGTCCAGCCTGCCCGTATGTGCAGTGTAGAACCGAAAATCTTTTATTTTTTTAAAGAAATTCCATGATCTATACTCTATACAAATAAATAAAATTGGAGTGTCTGTTTGTAATATTAAAATAACCACTTTTTACTAAATGCATATGTATGTTTACACGGTACATATGCAAAAATATTTTTTTTTTCAATTTTTGTCTGTCTGTCTGTCTGTTTGTTCCGGGTAATCTCTGGAACGGCTGGACCGATTTCGACGGGACTTTCACTGGCAGATAGCTGATGACATAAGGAGTAACTTAGGCTACTCTTTTTAGACTAGCTTCGCCCCGCGGCGTTGCCCGCGGTTATAACAACAAACGCGGGTAACACCGCGGGTCTCAGCTAGTTGGTTATATAATATGTACTGTAATAATACTTACATCTTCATACAAATCCGTGTTCATTTTTGATGTGGCCTTCCACAAGCCTCTATAGAATTCTTTGCTACAGGGGTCGTCGAGTGATAAGCCAAGTTTGTCCAAATCCTCTTCCATCAGACCGAGATGTTCTCGGAATAGGCGCTTCCGCAATCCTCCGGCGAATTTCCCGCACGGGAATGTCTCACCGTTCATGGTACCGTCTGTGAATTGCTCATCCTGAAAAGAAAAAAGAAATTTAAAATGTTTTATCATCTTATGCAATTATAATTATTTATTTATTTTATTTATGTAGTATTTTTTTTCCTATGTTTTTTTTCTTTGATATTAATTAGATTGCGGGGCGAAGAGGGGGATTACGCATGCGCAGTAACGCCGATACAACCAATGCCACCTAGAGGCGAGTTGCTGAACTAAAGAGACAAGCGTGATATTTTAAAAAAGTCATTAAAAGTTCTGCTATTCATCGATAGATGGCAATACTAAAAAGTATCACGTGGGGTGTGTTAGGTTATTTTCGTTACGGAATTTCTGGATTCGGTCTCCACGCTCAAGGCCCGCGATAGAAGCTATGCAATAGCTTAATAATAAATAAAACTGGTTTTTGTGAGGCATTTGTATTTTAGCGTTGCTTTTCCACGGATAGAACATACCTTTACTTAGTATAAAATAAAGTCGCTTTTTTTTGTTGTACGCTTAAATCTTTTTAAACTAAGCGACGGATTTTAATGAGATTTCCACCAACAGAGAGAGTCATTCAAGAGGAACGTTTATATGTATAATACATGCATATCATAGTAGATAAAATCCGAGAACTTCAAAGATTTGTCTTAAAAAACATGGTTATGTAATATTACGTTACTTCCCTTAGGAGCTGAGCAGAGATTATAAAAGTATTCGAAACCGTGGGGATCAGCTAGAAAATGATAAGAAAAAATCATGATCCTATAAGCTCGTTTCACTGCAATAATTATTTTTGTAGTAACCTGTAGTATGACGGCGATCTCCGAATCCCTCTTGCCGACCATGGACCTGTCGTTGATGTTGGCGCTGCCGCAGATGACGGTCTTGTCGTCGGCGATGAGCAGCTTGGAGTGCACGTAGACGAGCTCGGTGACGGGCTCGCCGCCCAGCGTCGCGTGCGTGCGCAGCCCGTGGAACGTGATGTACTCCGACGGGTCCGACACGCCCGCCTCGTACAGCCGGCTCAGGATCGCTTCTCGGCTTCTGCACCGATCGAATGAGAAGCAACGCTGTTAAGTGTATCTTAATGAAAAGTTATTTTTAAAATTTCTTAAGTGCCAAGTAAAGTTAAAGGAAAAGTGAATTGGAGAATATACATCAAATCTGCGTTTCAATTTTTTTTGTATTTTGTCGTAATGAAACTTAAGGTATGTTATGTATTGTATTATGTATGGTTTTTATCGCTCCTACACGCCCACCACTGTAACTTCTGTACAACCGGATCAACAGCAGCGACACAAGAACAAGAACACACACACACGTTATGACACTCGGGGAGTCACGGGAAAAAATAAAATTGTCGTGTAACCAGCAATGAAATTAATCAAAAAAATTAAAGGAGTTGGAAATATAATAAATCTACTTTTGAGATATATATTTACTAAGGTGAGCAAAGCGAAAGACAAAAATGAAGTAAACTTAGGCATACACCCTTTTAGGTGGAAGTAAGAGTGGGTAACAACACAGACAAAAAATATTTTGAGTCCTATTATTTATGGTTATATGGAATTTTAATTATTCAGTTAGATTTTCATTAACCTCAGCGATGGCGGCCCGGAGATTGCCACCATAGAAAATATATCGCTGTAATTTTCCAAGTAAAGATTACATATTGTTAAAAAAAGTTTAACTTTTAATAATATTATGCCTTTTTGATTATTTAAACCAACTCCTAACGAACAAATTATTATTATATTGAAAGTTAGTCATATACAAAAGTAACGTTCTGAAGCGTGACGAAGTGAAGTGAAGGTCCCCTCACCGACAGATGCTCTGGTAGTTCCAGTGCGTGACGGCGTGCAGCGAGGTGCCGGAGGGCGCGCCGACCTCGCCCTCGAAGGCGGGCAGCAGCGGCATCACCACGAACACGCGGAACCGCGCGCCCGACACGTGCGCGCGCATTATGCGGTTGAACAGGGCCTCGCCTATCTGTCACACACACATTCACTTACAAAAACGATTCAAACCCTGTCTCAGTATTTGATTACTATTTACTACTACTAGGACGTCACCACGAAGGCCTCAAAGCGATATACTCTCTTTCACCCATGGAGTTCGTTATTGATGAACATCCTTAGTAGTATAGGATGGGAGGGCATAGTTTAGGCTCGTATTTTAAAAGGAGTCTCAGTCGTGAATCTTGTTTTAAAACTAATTTTAAGTAGAGATTTTATTATTGAACGATCCATACACAAGTGAAATGAAATCTTACTCAGGTATAGATTCTGACAGATGTGATCTTTGTTTATGTGAGATAAGCTGAAACTAGTCTCAAGCGGTGATTTCTAGGGCATGATGATTATATAAGTATTACGAAAGATTTACTTTACTTTATTTACGAAAGAATTATTTGTCATACATAATCAATTCACTTTAATTTACCTTAATTGATATTAAATTCACTGAAATTGACGTTTTACACACACAATACCTGTTTAAATTAAAATCACCACAACTTTTTGATTTATGTTAAAAGTATAGTATTATTCTAGTAATTTAATTTTAGAATTATCAAAAAATATTAAATTGTCATGTTGAATTGTCAAACAATGTTAAAAACATTTTCAACACAATTCAACATGACAAGTGTTTTTGTTATAACCGATAACTAGTCATTTTTATTTTATTATATCTAATTTTGGACGAACAACAAACTTGTTAATATGTTTACACTGGTACACTGCAAATAGCATACTTTAAACAAATTCACAGAAGTGATGTTAGTAAGTTTTTTTTAATAATTAGCTACGTAATACGGCATAATAATTTCGATCACGCAGTAAGGTAATTGAGAACAAACTATAAGTTCAAATAAATACTTGAAAGTAGTTTCAAGTGAGTAAAACTTAAAACGCGTTCTATAATAAGATCGATACTTAAGTTTTGATCTGCACTTAAAACTAGTCTCAGGCAATCAGAGTTCAACCGATACTTTAAGACGTCTTTAAAAATACGGACCTCAGATTCTTACCTGATTCCTCACAGTAACACTGGTCCTCGACAGCGTGATGAAGAACTGGTTCTCGATGTACACATAGTGTTGTGCTTTTGTGATGGTATCGACGTACGCCTCGTGAATACTTTGTTCCACTGTGTCCGGGTCTAGGAAGCCGGCCGACCAACTTGACACGCTGCGGATCACCTGTGCATTAATACATACATAATGTGCTTAATGGCGGCAGTGTTTGCTAGATGCTCGAAATGTAACTATAATTTTATTCTGCAATTTTAGATTTAAATATGTATCCCACCAAAAAAGTATTGTAAAATGTTGCCAAGACACGGCCAAGCCACATATTTTGACAAACGTGGAGAATTTGCGATGATAGGGCTTGTTGTTAGGCTTGAGTTAGAAGCTTAGCTATACATGATATCTGATAAGTTTTTGACAGTGCGAGCCATATGGGTTTGTCTTGGCAACTTCTTATATTAAAATGTTTTTTTGTGTGATATTTCACTTTTTTTTGTAAGTTGCTTATGACAATATTTTTTTTTATTTTATTCAATTTCTCTGTATTTCTTACACATTAGAGGTGCCTTTTTTCATAGCCTACTCCTATCTTTGCCTTTTTTGTTGGTTTATTGTTTATTTCGACTATAGCTGACTGTTGTGCTTTACTCGTAATACAACTAAAGTCAATATTTATAAGGTCAACACCTTTCAAATAACTAAGACCGTTATTAAAAAATATTACAACTCTTCTTGCTTTTTCCTTGTCCCTCGAATCCCTTTTTGCTATCGTTTCTGTTCGGACGGCAAGCTCGCGCCGCGCTGTATTTGCTTCATCATCAATCACATTGGGTACACATTAGGTGTTTTGCGCGTGCTTAATTCCATCCCCCTGATTTATAGGGTGGGGGGGTGATTTACTTAAAATCCTGAAATATGTATATTATTTATAACAAGGAGTCCCTGTATATAAATTTTCAGACCTTTAGCACCAAAATTTGCGGAAGCCTCATACAAACTTCCACCCCTAGTTTAAACAGCATTTGTATTGATAATATTTGTAATGTGTTTACTTGTAAAATTCTTACATAATTGTAAGGAATGTTAGGTGGCTGAGGGTTAAAAAATTTAAGCTTTAGATTTTTTTGTTGTTTGTGTACTAATAACTTAAATATCAAATTTCAGCTTTCTAGGACTTTACGAAGTACCCTAAGTACCCTTTTTGGAGATAGATTTAAGCGAATGCTAACCGATTCGTGTACCAGCTAGCGCAATTCTGGTCACACACCTCAGTCTTCAAAAAAGCGCTGAGATATCTCTATCTCCAAGTGAAACATAAGCATGTTATGAACTGCAGGTTTGCTACGTTTAAGTTCTGGGTGGCTGAAAACGAAATAGACGTTTTGGTTCTGACTGAAAAACAGATTTTAAATGTTAAATCATTTGATGCGTAGGCGAAGGCGTAACTAAATCAAGTTGACAATTCAATTTGACTAAACAATGAATTATTCTGGATTATTTGACTTTATTTTCAGCTGTAAATTTGATGGATTGATGCGTTTTAGTTCACGTTTATGTAGATATTGTCAATCAATTTAGTCGGAGGAGAGGAGAGGTAGGAGGGAGACGATCTGTGCTTTTCTGCACAACTGACAAAGTGTATGGATAAATTCATGAAGATAGGTTGAGGAATTAAGTGAAACAAATTTGCTTTCTCATTTTCAACAATAATTACCTGGCAAGATACATCGGTTAAATCACATTCGAGGAGTTTGTCCAGATCATGTAGAGGTTTGATGTCGGTGTACGATTTCGGCAGCAAGTATGGATAGTTAAAATTTTGTCTGAAATTGAAAAAATAATATAATTAAAGATTTACTTATCAGAACTGAAGGTAATGTCACATCACACATCAACAGCCTTTAACAGTCCACTGTTTAGGCCTACTATACAAGGAGGTTTAGGCCTACTATACCAGAAACGCTGGCCGGTTGGTATAGGGTTTGTGTCAACTTTTCCTTCTCTCTGCAGTGGTGTTGTCCTGCGTAGTTTTTCCCCTTAGTCGGCTCTTACGACACCCACGGGATGAATAGGGGTGGTGATACGCTGTATTCTTAATCCGTCACCACGCGGACACGTGATTACAAATTACCCAAGAATTAGTAGTAGGTCTCATGACGACAGTCTGTGAATTTACCAATAATTTAACTCCTCGGTCAAGGGGGCATTTTTAAAGCAAAGCAACAATAATAAAATGGATGCTCAATCAAGGTTAGAGAATCTAATTTTACTTATATAAATAAGCCCCAGTATTCTTAATTTTATTTAAAAGATAAGCATCATCTATATTAAAAAAGTATATCAGTAATATACTTTTTTAATACAGAGAATGCTTTTCTTTCACAGACTTTTTCTAGAGAAAGCATAAAAATCTAATAAAAAAAAACTTTTATTTACGATTTTAGACCTAACGTAGGATTTTAGCTTCTGACACAACGCAGAAGGCAGATTCCACACTTGATACAGGTCTTTATTTACCTAGCTTTCTCCAGCTTGATGGCATTCCATCGCTGGATGAAGTGCCTGGCGACGTCTCTGGCGCAAGGCCCCTGCACCACCACGCCCACGTCGTGCCACGGCATACGGGGAGTCGACTTTCTGTCCACTAAGTCTGAAATATTCCTGGTATATTAGTTTAGTGACGGATTGAATAAAAGAGTAAACAGCTATACTGCTAGCAGCACTGTATGAATGTATTTCCACTGTATGAAGACTTTAATCTTATATATAAAATTCTAATGTCACAATGTTCGTTCCCGTACTCCTCCGAAACGGCTTGACCGATTCTCATGAAATTTTGTGTGCACATCGGGTAGGTCTGAGAATCGGCCAACATCTATTTTTCATACCCCTAAATGGTAAGGGTGACCCATCCCTAATTTTTTTTTGTTTTACAATACAACGTTTGCCGGGTCAGCTAGTACTATATAATTGCAATAAAAAAAGAATGAAAAATATAGGCAGATTTTTCTTTTGTTTGTATCTAAATACTTTTTTAGTAAGTATTTTGTCCGTGTAGTGACGGATTAAGAATACGGAATGTCACTACCCCAATTCATCCCGTGGATGTCGTAAGAGCCGACTAAAGCCGCAAAACAACGCATGGCACCAGCACTACAAAAAGAAGGAAAACTTGACACAAACCCTATACCAACCCGTCTGGCCAGCGTAGTATAGTAGGCCAAAACCTCCTTTCTAATGAGAGGCCTATGTCCAGCAGTGGACTATTAAAGGCTGTTGATGTGATTTGTGATGAAGTACTTTAGACTACTAGTCAGGTTTGAAAAAACTTTAAATTCAATTTTAAAAAACAATAACGTCGAAACGTCAAGACATTCAAAAGGTGAATAAATACCAAATACGTGTTAATTCCCGTAACACGCGTTTAAGGTCACTGCTCTGCTAAGAGTCATAGCAAGATGTTAAGTCCACTGTAACCTTTCTCTAAGAATACTCTATCCAATGCAGTAAGAATAATTCTGATCTGACTGTTAGTTTCGGAGAGACACTTCAACTTTGATAAATTGATTTTTTTTATGGTATAAGGGGTCAAACGAGCAGACGGGTCACCTGATGGTAAGCAACTTCCGCCACCCATGGACACCTGCAACTCAAAAGTCACAAGTGCGTTGCTGCCCTGGGCTCCGGTAACCTCACTCACTCAGTGAAAGGCAAGAATTGCTTAACACCGGTTTTTATGAGGCCGTGGTATCACTCCGGTCGAGCCGGCCCATTCGTGCTAAAGCATGGCTCGCGCACTGTATACATATATAGTATTGAAAATGACATTAGAACTTTATTAGAAAAATAAAATCCTTACCTACAAAAGGCAGATCTAAATAACTGAAATCCTTAACAATAAAATTTGTATAATCTTTCCCTATCCACAGCTTTGAGTTTCCTTCAACACCTTCTGTTTCTTCTAGAGTGGTGGCGGTAACCACCCTCCCTTCGACCACTTGCGCTAAGGGCGTAGGTTGGCTGACTTTCGATTCCCTCAACACATCTGTTCTGAGAACTTCTACCGTCGACAAAGCATACTTTTCAGCTTTCTTTCGTTCTGAGTCGTCCAACTTCTTTTCAATCCTTTCTTCTTCGTAAGGGGGATACAAGATACTAATAATATCTTTCCCTCTGTCTGTTATTTTGTTTAATACATTTCGCTTGTGCACCTCATGTGTGTCGAATTTGGACGGGTCTTCGCTCCCCACATTGGAATTCATGAGTAAATGGTCTCCAGGTTCCAGGACAGGAAGGTTTTGGGGAGGTTCTCCCGTTGGAGTTGGTTCAGGTACTTCGGTTGTGGCTTTTTGAACATCACTGTTCAATGTTAATCTGTGAAGTGCAAAATAGAATAAGAAGATTTTGAAATATTTAATATAAAGACTAAAAAACCATTATCCAACTGTAGTATTTGTTTGACTGAACTGTTGGCTTAGTGCAGGGATTCCCAAACTATTTTGGACAAAAGACCCCTTTTCTAAAATGAACTGATTCCTCAAACCCCCATAGCCAAATGACTGCACGCTTATCGACTTGTTGAGTATTTAAAAGTACAACAATGGTACTTTCTACTAAAATATTAGTATTCCTATGACAAGTTGGTACACGTAACACAACTAATACAGTATCTTGAAAGTTTTAAATGCAAAACTGAGTTAATTAATAGGAGTCGATGTTTAGACCTCGTCGAAACTCAGTCCCCTGGAAAACCGATTTCGATCCTAAGGGGTCGATATCGACCACTTTGGGAATCCCTGGTTTAATGGTTATTGATCATCCAAAGTCGATGTGAGTCCGATTCTCACCCAGGAAAAATAATTGTGTGATGAGTATGTTTCGTGTCTGGATGAAGTTTACTATAATATGTTTGTATTTTGAAATATATAAGTAATATTATAATATTTTCGGACATCTTACACACAACGCCCATCTAGTTTCAAACTAAGCAGAGCTTGTACTGTGAAAGCCAGATTGACTGATAGAATTCTAATTTACTTTTTTTTTGTGAATACATACATATTATGCATAGAAAACACCCAAACTCCGAAACAAATATTTGCAAATCATACAAACATTTGGCCCGACCCGGGAATCGATCCCGAGACCTCAGCACAGCAGTCGCATACGATACTACTGCACCACCGTATGTTGTTTATCTGGTTACCGTAGACATAGACTCTGTCTAGTTTGAGATCAGACAGCCGTGTGAGACGAGTCAAGATATTATTATTGTTTAAGTAAATATAGGTATAGTAGCCATATATGCAATAGGTATGATACATTTTATTTATTTAAATCGATCTAAGTCGCGTGCCATGGGAGAGGCCTATGTCCAGCAGTGGAGTGCGATAGGCTGATGACGATGATGATGATGATGATGCTACATTAAATCATCAATAATTCTACTGAAATGAAATTTTATGATATAGGTAAATTGTCTTTTTTCCAGTGTTACTAAAAGTTTCCAACAACATAATTAGTACAAAACTTACTCATTAAGGCCAATGACTAAGTTCTTGGAGCTTTTGGCAAGTTCTATGGCGGCATCGATCCCGTTCGTCTGCGGCATTATGATACCTCCGCCGGGAGAACTTGAGGTCTTCATTTTGGTCCTCACAGAGGACTTCGTGTCAGATATGTTGCCGAGGTCTGTGAGTCTGCATATAACGAAAATCAGGTTTTACAATTTTAAGTAATAAAGGTATTACTTATTTTTCTTTTTTTTTTATGTGATATGGGGGCAAACGTGCAGACGAGTCACCTGATGGTAAGCAACTACCGCCCATGGATACCTGCAACTCAAAAGTTACAAGTTGCTGTCTTTGGAGTCCCTCCAGCTCCTCTTTCTTAAAACACATGATAACAAAGCTGGACTTTAAGAGTAGGTGGATTTCAGGGTATGAGACGGTTGTGAAGTGTTTTGCTCCACGTTTATAGAACAGCTTGAATAGTCAGACTTACCCCAAATAATATATTAGTGGTAAAAACTTTAAAATTTAAATAAAATAAAACTCACGGAAGAGTCATGATTTAATTAAAATACAGTAGAATTTAGATTATGAAATTATGAATAAATTAATTATTTGTAAATAAATAAATAATAAATTGTATGCTGTATAGCATACAATTTATGATGATGTAGGAATTTAAATTAAATTATTATTTTATGTATTTATCTTGTGAATACACGGGTGTCATGTCCCTTCAACACAAAGGGAGGATGGATTCTCCGACCAGGCGAGGTGATCACGCCTGGCAAGCCGCGGTTCAACGGTGATGTTGGGTAGTTTTATATATAGATAGATAGATAACTCTTTATTTGCACACTAAATTACAGAGACAATAAATAAAATTAATATATAATAATCAGCATGAGAATTATTAATATCACGATACAGGATTGGCAGTTACTCCGTAGTTCGGTGAGTTTTTGTTAGATGGAGCTGTAGTTTGTTTATTTGTTTCGCCGTATGTTGAAGTCGCCACAATTTCTACATAAAAAAGCCGTGTGGTGTCGTGGGACACCCGATAGGAACGAAGTTCTGACGATCGAGTAAAACTGATTCGACACGATTTTAATTACAACGCCATCTATGTAAGCGGCTATTACCTACATATTTTTCAGTTGGTTTCTAATTAAAACAATTTATACATTGGTAAAATCTCCTTGAGAAATGATTTCCTATCTATTCGATAGATGGCGCTGAATGACTGACAAGTGACAATTCAAAATAAATGCTGAGATGAAAAGTAATGATTTCCTATCTATTCGATAGATGGCGCTGAATGACTGACATAAAAAGTGTCGTTACAACTTTTCGTGACAAATTTTTCCGTCTAGCACAAAAAGTTTTCGACACTTTTTACAACGCGCGTTAAGGAACTTCGTTCCAAAAATAACTTGCCCTGACTGACTCATTCATCAACGCAGAGCCTAAACAGCATGGGCTACAAACTTGAAACGTTGGCAGCTAACGCTTTTTACTTTGTAACCACCCACTAAGAAAGAATTTTTGTCAATTCCAACCCTAAAGAGGTAAAATAAGGGATGAAAGGTTGTATGCAAGTTCTTCATTTTCAAAGTTAGAAACACGAAATAGTAGTAATCACGCGAGCGAAGCCCCAGGCAATAGCTAGTATACTCGTAGTACACATACACGTACCTGTGTTTATGATCGTCCCAGCGTCCGTAGCACAGATCTATACCACCGAGGAATGCGACCGTTTGGTCTATGCACACTATTTTCTCGTGGTGAGCCCAAAATAATACGCCTCCCTTGGCATGGTCTGGGTGACGGAATACCTATAAATATATACAATAATTGGGGTTTGCGTCTGGAAAATATACTTAAAGCAGATAATATAGGATAATTAGCAGAGACTCTGACTGACCCTAATACGGCAATTTTACAACAATCAGAACTAGGTACAAAGTTTATAATTATTAATTATATTTAGAATTGTAACTAATTCTATATTGTTTCTGTAATTCTTTATTCGGATTAATACACATTATTGTGTTTTAGATAATTTTATGGCATATTTATTTAATGTTTTATGTATATAATTTAACAGAATTTATAATCAGAATCATTAATAACTTTTATAGAAATAAGAAAAAGGACCCAATACCATATCAGAACTGAATAAAAAACTTAAAACTTACCTTAATATTTTCGCTTGATAATTTACTTTTGCTGTAGAAGCTGTTGATTCCGAGCGCCATCTCCACCTCTTTGTATAACATTATGAATATTTTAACTCCTTGTGCCTGTAAAATTGGTCAGCGATACATTTCTATTATCAAAAATGAATTTCATGAAACAAACGATTACGGAACCGTAAACTTCATTCATCTCATACGTATTTATTATTGGACCATTTCACAGTATTCAGATGCTCGCTACCGTGTTGCAATAAGACAAATAAGCGTTGTATCGTTGGGATACTTCTTTCATAGCGATCCATCAGCGATTCCATAGCTATGTGGAATACAAAAAAAAAAGCACTAACCGCCTTCCTCCTCAAGATCATGTCGAGCCGCCAATAGTTCCCGTTGAGCGCGGGCCGCTTCATGTAGATCTCTGGGCTGAGCCACCAGTCGGCGATGAAGATCTCCTCTCGCGCCAGCTCCATGGCGTCGGCCACGGCCCTGAGGTAGGCGGCGCCGTCCACCAGCGCGCCCGCCGCCTGCGCCGCGCGGCACGGCGCGAACGAGTGGTGCAGGTTCACTCCCGTGAAGTCTCGCGCTGGGGACAACGCACCGCCCGATAACCTTCCCGTTCATATATTCATGTTGCTCGATTCTGTACACTTTATAATACACTAACTTTTGCCCGCGGCTCTACCCGGTCTATGTCGGTTTATCCTTTGTCAAGAAGCAAAATCTCTTCATAACAAATTTCATCTGATTCGGTTCAGCGGTTTTTGATTCCCCATACAAACTTCCACCCCTTTTTTACCCTCTTAAAGGATGATTTCTGGAATAAAAACTATCATATGCCCTTTGCCGGGACTCAAACTATCTCTGTACCAAGGTTCATCTAAATCGGTTCAGCGGTTTAAGCGTGAAGAGGTAACAGACAGAGAGACAGATACACTTTGGCATATTAGTATGGATATTATATGATTCAAATTGAATCTACCGACGACGGCAAGCCTAATGCAACTCCACTTCTAAACCTAATTTCGTTGACATTAACAAATGTTATATACGCATTGCTCGTGCGAACTAGAATGCACTTTATCGTGCCGTTAATAATAGTAAATCTATGTCCAGCAGTAGACAGATTGAGACTGTTGATTATGATAACAAATAAAGTGGATTTTTACCAAAGTATTTTAGGTAAGTGAACTTTCTGTGCTACTGGTAACAACGAGATTTAAATATTTCAAGTTTTATTTGAAATATCTAGTTTATTTTTTAAAGATTGTCAGCTTGATACAACCTGTTTTACATGTATTTTCGTAAGAAAATAAAAATAACTATTTCCATTTCTAAGATTGTAATACGATATTACCGACTTTCTCTATAACCGGACGAAGAGACCCGAAAGAAACATTTTTCAAAATGAAAAAAGAGTCTTATCTGATTCATTCAGTTATTGGTACAAAATAAATTACTCACAACTCTGGTTAGCTACAGTTTTGAGGTAATGCATCCACTCTTTACTCTTGCGCTTTGTCCAGCATTTGATCACCATTTGTCTGCTCAGGTTAAGTATTTGTAATCCATGGTTCAAACCCGTCGAATACATGCCACTGGATACTTCAAACCTAGAATATTTATATTATGTTGACAAATCAAATATAACTAATCATTAAAGGATTACTGACGATATATAATGGATTTAGCCTATCTGAAAGGATTCATATATACAAAGAAGGATTCTTTATTTATTTATTTTGCAGAACATGAGTAGGTATAAAAGTTCTTACAATAGTATCAGATTCATCATATTCTGCTGTCACAGCAGCATGCAAAAGTATACAATAACCATTAAATTAATATAAAGATTGGAATTGAGGAAAGTCACTAATAAATTACGTTTACATAGTTAGAACTGTTATATAAATTAAACATTGTTCATTAACACCAATTCACTATCAATTAAATAATCGTTCACAGAATAATATCCTTTTCCAACTAATATTTCTTTGACTTTATTTTTAAATATAAATACACTATCTGTGATTCCGAGTACAGATTTTGGTAAACGATTGTATAATCGAACAGCCATACAAAGTGCGCTCCTATTTAACAGGGCTGTTTTATTTCTGGGCATGCGTATTTCCATATCACGCCTCTTACTATTAAGATTTTTAAATACATAAGCATTTTTACGCACAAACACGACAGTTTCTAATATGTAAATGCATGGTAGCGTTAGAATTTTAAAGTTTATAAAATATGGTTTACAACTGTCTGTAGTTTTAATACTGAATATGGCCCGCATGCATTTCTTTTGCGCCTTAAATACAGTTTCCCTATCAGTAGAATTTCCCCAGAACACAACACCATACCTCAGAAGAGAGGAAATGCACCCATGATACACCGCTAAAACAGCTGTGATACTTGCTGTTTTCTTTAATCTATAAAGTGCATATGAATACGTATTTAGTTTGAGACACACTGTTTCAATATGATGCTTCCAGTTTAAGTTATTGTCTATATTCAACCCTAAAAACTTTGTAACCTCTACTTCCTCAATTTTTTGGTCTAAATACCGAATATCCATATTCGTCAATTTATTTATTCTATTTCTGTATGTCATAAAATTAGTTTTACTTAAGCTAATATTCAAATTATTCAATGTCAACCAGTTAATAATATTGTTTAATGTCAATTTTATTTCTTGCTCTAAATGTACCTTGTCTTTTCCAGTAAATATAATTGTACTATCGTCAGCAAATAAAATTGTGTTATAATTTGTCACTTTTGGGAGATCGTTTATATATATATTAAAAAGCAGTGGTCCCAACACACTACCTTGCGGCACGCCCAACTTGACTTTTCTACTAGATGAAGTATATATCGTAACTTTTTTAGTCTTTGGGCATATTCTACTTATTTGGGTTATTTGTGATCTATCAGCTAAGTAAGATTTAACCAAATCATAGACATTTCCTCTTACGCCGTATGCATAAAGTTTTTTTAGTAGTAAGCTATGTTCGACGCAATCAAAAGCTTTTGATAGGTCCATGAACAACGCGCATGCCTACCAGCACATTCACACCAGTTCTACCGCATACGATACGATATAGGAAACTAAAACGTCTCCTCAGAAGTTAAAGTTCATAATCGCATGGTATCTTCTTTTTGCATCCGACCGACTTTAACAGTGAAATAAAAAATACATTTCAGTGCTCACTCTAGCTACGACACACCGAACTACGGAGTAACTGCTAATTCTGACGGCCTAGTGCAGGGTCTGCACTTGTGACTGCGTTCGGCTGTGATTGGTGTAGAGTTCAGCGCGGGCCAATCGCAACGTCGAACGCGCTCATCGTGACTATTGAATAGATGTGAAATAAAAAATAAAAAGTAGCCTATGTCCTTTGTCAAGAAGCAAAATCTCTTATCTCGGCGGAATGAAAAGTTCTCACGCCACTTAGCATGTATACAACTTCCGAACATCAACTGATGAGAGAATCTTCCCCATGTAAATTACACAAAACCAGTTCTTTCAAAGTTATTTGTAATATGTATATATATTTCATCATCATCATCAACAGCCTTTAATAGTCCACTGCTGGACATAGGTCTCTCCTTAGAAAGGACATATAAACATAATAGGTTTCCTTTTCCTTTATCGTATTGTATGGTGTGAATCCTTTTGTATCTATGTAGGTTTTGGCCTACTATACCACGCTGGCCAGACGGCAGAGAGGGTTGGTATAGGGTTTGTGTTAAGTTTTCCTTATTTTTGCAGTGCTGTTGTCCTGCGTAGTTTGCTCCCATAGTCGCCTCTTACGACACCTACGGCATGAATAGGAGTAGTTACACTCTGTATTCTTAATCCGTCACCACGCGGACACGTGATATAATCAAATTACCCAAGAATTAGTAGTAGGTCTTATGACGACAGTCTGTGAATTTACCAATAATTTAACTCCTCTGTCAAGGGGGCATTTTTAAAGCAAAGCAACAAAAATAAAATGGATGCTCAATCAAGGTTTATATAAACAATGGAAAAACGAAATGAGTTAAGCTTCATTCCATACTTTACGATGCTTAATTTTGTTACAAATACAAATATTATTGGTTTAATGCGATGTGTTATGGCGGCACGTCATTTAGGGGTTCATAATCTAATTGTTTCAATTCACAACGTCATCCTCGTCTTCTTCGCATATCCGTGTTTTTGTTATTTTGTTGTTTTAGTAGTATCTTTTTACGCTGTTTAATAGTATTTGAATAATTTTCCACCCTTCGGCGTTGTATTTTTCTGGAAATGGGACCAAACGAGAAGTTTATCCTCCCAAATTTTTGTTCATAAATTTGGAGTTCTGACAAAAAAATATTTGTGGTCGGATAAAATAAGATTGTAGGTGCTTTCTTCTTGTGAGTACAACAAGTAAACACTGAGTACATTTGTCTCATTGGTCCCTTGAGCCGGCAAGTGCCACTTTCACATGTGGAACAATAATTATGCGAAATACGCTATTTATGGATTGCGTCGCTATTTATGACAAATAAAAAGAACAAAATGAAATGCCGCCATTATGCAGAGATGTTTAGAAAAAATATATTTCCAGTTATGTGATATCGATGCCGATTCTGCGTATTAAGCGCGCAAGATATTTTAATAAATGGCCGGGTCTAAAATATCTCACCTTTTTTAATGTTATTTTTCTAAAAAATTTGAAAAGAGAATTACTATTTTAAAACTGTCATCTAGTTTTAAAACTTTTCTAGCTGCCAAGCTTTTATTTATATTACAGTGTATTTACACTTATAATTAGAATATATGACAACCAAAATATTATTAGATGACGGTAGGTACAAAAACGAGTGACGTCACACATCAGTCTATATCGAGCAACAAATAGCTGGACTGGGGTGCATGTTCTTTGTTATTTTATTTTGTGAAAGTAATGTTCATGTCTAATACAACTTTGTACATTGTTTTTGGTGTACATTTTATTATACCTGTAAAAACCCTGGTGTACAAATAAAATATTATCTATCTAGTATAATTTTCAAACAAGATAAACTTTATTATACACATTTATCAGAATGATACACAAAATATCATAATAGCCAGACAATCCAGTGTTATTACCAATAGTTTACACTATTAGATAGTACTGGAGACTTGTTACATTATCGATAATTTCGATAGTCTTTAGAACAAAAATACTACCAGAGGTAAAACATTTGAAGACGTCATATAAAGCGATTCCTAACTACCTACCTACCATTTGTTATTTTTAAGTATAAAGCTAAGCACAGACATTTATAGTAGAACAATTCCCAGTCTTTGAAATCGATTCAGCAATTTAGAATTCTGAACGCGATTGACATTTCGCAAGTTTCGGACCGGTTTTTTTATGGAATAGGGGTCAAACTCAGGAGTGACAAGCGTCCTGCCAGCCTTTCAGGAAGGAGTACGCTCTTTTCTTGAAGGGTTGTATCGGTCCGGAAATACAGCAGACGATAACTTGTTTCACAGATTGGTAGTGCCAGGCAAAAAGTGTCTTGAAAAGCGCACAGTGGTTGAGCGCCAATTATCCAAGTGGAAGGGAGGAATAATTTGCCGCGTGGAACGATGGCGGAAGGTTGCGGCCGGTATTAGTCCGAACATTTCCACGGAGCACTCTCCACGATATATACGATAGACAATGCAGAGCGAAGCTACATCTCTACGAAACGCCAAGGGATCAAGCCGGTGGTGCCCCTGCATAGAGATAAGAACAGTATTCCATATGCTGGCGATATGGAGGCGATGGGCTGGAGTGAGGAGGCTTCTTCGAGGCCAATTTGACCTTACCCTCAAAATGACCGCGAAACTGGACGTCGCTCGATATCTAGATGCCTAGGATTGCAATACTGGCTGAGGCAGTTAGGGAGGTGCTCTCGAACCGAGGCGATACGACAAACGGAATCTTTTTTGCGGTGATCGAGCAACCTGTGTCTTTTTTAGGTTAAAATGAATCAGATACAGTCGCAGTTTCAGCTTTAGACACAAGTTCGTTTCGACACTCGATGATTTTCCCGAGAAATATTAGCATGACCGGTATAAGCATCTCCCGTGCTATCATCTGCCACTAGTTCGTAACATATCATTGATATGCAGAAGCAATAGTGTGGGTGATAGCACACAGCCTTGCGGGACACCAGCATTTACTGACTTCAAGTCGGAGCATGCACCGTCGATAACGACCTTAATGCTTCTACCTGCGAGGAAACTGGTGACCCAATTACATAATTTCTAGGGAAGGGTTACTTCTAAGTTACTAGACCCGGTAGTATTATAAAACTAATCGGATTGTGAATCACGATGATTCATAATTCGATTACTAATATAGATAATTATCGATAAGATATCTTTGTTAAGTATACATTGTTGATAAATTCTAGATAATGGTATCAATATTATCAATACTTTTGATAGCACCTACACTAATATCGTTGCAAAAATTGAAATCTGTACTTGCAGCTTAACGGAAGGTTCTAATATGTTCACTCGCTTAAGACATGTTGCGACACGAGGAACTAGTATGACAGTTTTTAATACAGAATCGACATTAATCGATTTAAAAAACCAAACTCTAAGCTAAGACAGAGTTATTACAGTTAAGCACAACGACCTTCATCTAAATACTTACACATTTAAGTTTTAAGCTGCGTGGAATAAAAAAGAGACATTAATTATTTTCAAACAATACACTCAAAAAGTATTGTTTCTGAACTTAATAAAAAAAACATTGTAGTTCTCACCCCTGGTCAAATAGCATGATGGCCTTAATGACTCCGTCTCTCGGCCGTATGTACCCGAAGAAGGTGTCCTTCACGAAGAACCACCTTTCCTGCCACTTGGCACACACTAAACCCGTACAGAAATAGTTACATCTGAAATAAAGTGCGTTACGTATAGTCGAGATGAGGGTTACAACTCGAGAATAAAAAATGAGTCTTGCCTAACTGGTAACAAGTAAGCTAATTAATTTTAAACTATTCTTAGTAAAAATATTCTCGTTCAGGCTGAGATGAGTTGGATGAGAATACCAAATTTGACAGTTTGGAACTGATCTAATGATGGGGCAGGGAGGAAGAGGAGGTGGATAGTAGAACTCTTCACAGGCTACTAGTAAATCCCTAGAGTTTCGGTTCATATGGTTTGTTTTGACGATATATTATATTATAAAACGGGGAACATTTATTCCTTTTAAAAGACGCAGACGAAGTTGCGCGAGGCAGCTAGTCTTATTTATGTGTGAAATTTAAGATAATTGTATGTTTATAGAGTAATAATATAATGTTTCACTAATTACGCTTTAAGAAGAGTGTGACAAACAAACTTTCTTACTTTCATTTTAAGAACATTTAATTGTCTATTAAACCGAATTTATTTCATTAGGCTGGCAATATTAGCTTCGTTTTACCCGGATTCATTGCTCTCAAGTGTAATTTACACTTAATAGTCAAATATAACAACCATCTACTCTATCTAGTGAAAATAAACGATCGTAAATCAACACGCAATTATGAACAATGTGCTCAGAATCATCAGAAAAGATTTATGAGTAGCTTATGATTTACATTCTAACCTCACACAGACCATGTTCCCGAGCATTCCGAAGCAGTTGCAGCCGGCCTGGCCGGGCTGCGTGGAGCCTGTCCGCTTCAGTATCATGCCTTCCTTGCCCTTGCTGCCCAGGTCCGATATAAACGATAGCGTCGATACTTCTAAGAATTTCACCTGTAATGAAACATCACATTCTTGGGTCCCTTTGATGTTGTAGCAGTAGATGTATTTCAATTTATCATACCGATAACGGTTATCTATTAGACATGTGCATAAATAAAGCAGTTAAAGTAAATTTTTACTTTTGATTGGCCTGTTAGCCTAGTCCGTATGGCCACGAAATTAGTATATGGAGTCGTTTCTTTTTAATGGGACTAATCCCTCCCATACGTACACCACTGTAACTCCTGTATACCAGGATCAACAGCAGTGACCCACGAACACACCGAGTTATGACACTCGGGTAGTCCTCAGTCCCCTTAGCAAAACGGGAGCCAAAATGAATTAAAATAGGCATACACTCTTTTAAACAGGGAAGTACCACGGCCACAATATTATGGGTCTAAGTGAGCTATATTTGAATTCTATAATATGTATTGCAGAATCGCCTAAACATACGGTAATTCACCCTAGTTGCCACTATATCCCTGTAGTATACAGCATATTACAGATGTCACCTGTAAGCTATTCAGCATTAAGAATTTAAGAATACGGACTGTCACCATCCCTATTCATACCGTGGGTGTCGTAATAGTAAGTACCGGTGGAAGTCGCTTACTAGAGCTTGGGGACTCTGGGAGGGGACCCTCCCAGAATTAGCGCGGAGAGGTGTTGGGGTCCCGATAATTTCACTCATTTAGAGAAAAACGAACGCATTGATTGATTTTACGGCACTTTTCTGTAAGGCTGTGCTATTAATCTGGCCCAGCGGCTTTATATATGGGGAAGCATAGCTCACACACGGCCACGGTAAAACTCCCAAAACACATAAATATTTAATACTTACAGTTTCATGATGATTCCTGTATATTGTAATGTTAAGTAGGTTGTATAAATATTCTTCTAATTGTTTCATCCTTAGCTGGATACCCTCGTACGTTACCATCACCTCGGGTCTCTTAGGAAATCTATAAATAAAAATAGAATTATATTTATAATTATTATGTTGGTTTGTGTACGTTTCAAAAACTCAAAAAGTTCTGCAACAAGTGCGCTCAAATTTACACGATATACAGCGCTTCAAAGATCCATTTCTCGTGCAGTTTTATTCCTTATTTCTTTTCAATGGAGCCACAATATGCCACAGCGAAGCGTGGCACGGTACAGATAGTATTTTGATAAACAGTTGCGAAGAGACTACAGTAATAGTGGAATTTCAGCACAAGTTTTGTTCATATTGCAGTCGTTTTCTATGTAAACGAATGTAATTTGTTGAGTCATTAAGTCTTTCAATCTATACTAATATTATAAATCTGAAGAGTTTGTTTGTTTGTTTGTTTGAACGCGCTAATCTCAGGAACTACTGGTCCGATTTGAAAAATTCTTTCAGTGTTAGATAGCCCATTTATTGAGGAAGGCTATAGGCTATATATCATCACGCTAAGACCAATAGGAGCGGAGCACCAATGAAGAATGTTTCAAAAACGGAGAAAATTTATTACTATTGAGAGACGCAGACGAAGTTGCGCGGGTCAGCTAGTCATAGCCATGGCTGTGGAACAGCTAATCTCGACGATATATATTTTTTAATAAAAACCGATACGGAACCTTAAATAAACCTCCCAAAACTTATAATTTCATCATACATCACATCTCATATGACCTCTGGCTCGACTCCTGACTCTCGCTAAGAGAAATACAGTAAGTACCTCGGTAAAGCACCTTTTCTTTTCCTAGGTCTTCCTTCTCTCCTTTTAGAGTTACTCCTCGGAAGTGCTTGTAGTGCTACCCTTTCCGCCTTCTCTTCAGTGTTGACGGTATTCTTGAAGCTTGCTCGCCTGGTCTTATGCGTTTTTGTGGGGAAAGGAATATCAAGTGATGCTCTATAGAGAGTGAGTTGTTGGTGGAGGTACAGTACGTGCTTGTAACGTTTCTTGATGGTCCAATTGAACTCGCCATGTTGAAGGGATATTGTGTATCTGAAATATATATACGCTACTTTAAGAATATTTTTGTCTGTGTGGTGACGGATTAAGAATACGGAGTTTTACCACCCCTATTCATCTCGTGAGTGTGGTAAGAGTCGACTAAGGGAGCAAGCTAGGACAACAGCAATGTAATGAGAAGGAAACCTTGACACTAAACCTATACCAACCCGTCTGGTCAGCAGCGTGATATGCTAAGCCAAAACCTCCTTTCTAAGGAGAGGCCTATGTCCAACAGTGGACTGCTAAAGGTTGTTGACGATGATGATAATACTTATTATAGATAAATTACACCCCGACACAGAACAAATAATCGTGCTCATCACACAATTATCACTTCTATCATCACTTTCCACTTGGAAAGTGATGATAGATGATATAATAACCATGAATACTTGAATATTACTACGATTTCACGTAATGTTTTCATTATCTAATCTATAGGATAAAAACTGTACTGATTTATAAAAACTATATTATGTCACATAAGATCAAAACATTTTTTTCATAACTCAAACCTGATTTTAAAATATTTTTATGTGGATAATAACAAATATATTTTTTCAATAAAAGTTCTTTTTTGTCATAAGAAGGTTTAACAATTCTAATCTTGCATCTCAAAAAAGTCTTTTCTTACTTTTAGGAGTGCAACACCTATATTTTTATATTCTGTTATGGCCACTGCACCGCACCTAATCGTAGTAGCCTAAAATTAAATACCTTCATTAAGAAATACGCTCTTTGAAGCTAACATTTTTCAATAATTGTCTTTGTTATCTTAAAAAAAAGTTACTTCAGATGGTTAGGTTTTATAAAAATATCTTCCGCGTTATTACTTCAGTAGAATTTGTTTCTTTATTTGTTCCTTGTAAGAGCTACATTTATCCTGATCGATAACGATTACATGTATCAGAGATAAGAATGCGACTCAGATTACTTATTATAATCGATTTACGTAATATTGTGCATAAACCGTTGCAAACAACAAATATGTATACAATATTTCAACATTATTTGATTAATTATCATACTTAACTTGGAATTGAATTGAATTTTCATGATGACTGTTAATAATTCTGAATAAATTCTTTAGGCACCGAAATGATATATAACATTTTTTAAATTATTGATATCGTATTTATATGTGGCTGCGGTTCTACGGCTTTGCCAGATTAAATAGCAGCGGATGATAGCGTTTTTTAAGGTTGAATGATTGGTTAAAAGGCACTAGGTTATCTTCTGTTATTTAGAGAGCTAGTACATTAAAGTCTTCTGCGCTGCCTCATCGTCTCCCTACACCCGCTGTTTATTTGTATTTGTTTTATACATTAAACATTGAGCAACGTTGTTAAATTTGATAGCAATTGGTGAATATTTGTTCTTTTTTAAACATTTTGATGAAACGTACTTTGACATTTTTAACAGGTGTACCACCTAATGTAAACAAATTGTTGTTGTTTGTAATTTCATTTACTTTTTAAACTTGGAAAACGATCTTTATTTTTTGTTTGTATTAATTTTTGAAGAATAAATACCACCTCTATTTTTATAATGAATTTTTAAGTTGTATATTGTAGAATGATTAATACGAATTTATAATAAATATTTATTATAAAATCGTATTATTTAAAAGTACTACGAAAAAAAAAATTATCTTACCAATCTTGTAAAATACAACTATTTATGGTACTACAGATTATTGTGTTATTTGCGTATTCAGGGATATTATCTATTATTTATATTTCAATACTGATAATTTACTATTTTAGATTTTTATCTGCGGCGTGATAACCTCGGAATATTTTTTTACAGCCTAAAGTACATATTGAAAACAAAGTACCAAAATATATAAATCAAATTTTCTTTTTTCTCTTGCATTTCCCACATCATTTTTCTACATCACCCGAAGGTCAAAGCAGAGAATGCCCTAGGCATTCAAGCAAGTCAAGTCCGCGTACAACTTATGTCTCAATGGTAATTTTTATTTTATCCGTCCACTTCTAAATTAATGAAAAAACTAACTGAATCTGAATGACATATTATTTAATATTTCGCTCGAGCTCTGTAATGTGTGCTTCTTTGACGCGAATGTGGTGGCTTTCATTGTGTTTTTATCTTTTTTGCACTAAATTTAAAATAATTCTAAACTTCAAAATAAGATTGTTTAAAGATTCAATATGTGCATATTTTCATCATATAGTACAAAATCTGGTTAATAGAGAATCTGGGTAACTGCTAACAACCCAACAGAACTGGCCCAACCTCTCTTGCCATGAGTCTATTAATTATAAAACAATTTATTATGTATTACCTTGTTATTCATTTAGTTAGACTTTAGACTAATCAATTAAAAAAAAACAAAACAGTATAACGGAATACAAAAATAAACACTGAATGAATTATTCAGTTTTGAAGCAATCGCGCGTGCAACATCAAATTTTCGCATGTGCAACATCAAATCAACGCGGGTGCAAAACGTCTAATTAAATATACATAACATACATACATACAGAAAATCTCCACTCAATAAAAAAAGTTCCATTCAACCGTCGAAGGAGTATACCGTCACGTTACAAAACTTGATGAAAGAATACTCAAAAACACCAGAGCCAATATAAATACTGTTTTTTCTTGTGTTCGATAATCTCTTTGTAACTCTACGACCCAATTTTGTATTAGTTTTTTGGTGGACTACAGACACGGCGGAGGGTTGCCACTATATACTTAATACTAAAGTATCGCCTCAGTCTTTACGTTTTGTCTGTCAGTATGTCTTTCAACTCGGATATTATGCGGGAATTAACAAAAGTATCTGGCTACTTTAGGAACGTATTTTAATTAGGGTGTAAGTTCGAATGTAAGTTATGGTTTCAATTTAACAAATTAAACACGTGCCTTTACAAAGCCAGTTTATAATATTTTGGAAAAGCATGTCTAAAAGACTTAGTAAGTCTTCTACTATCACATAGATTCCTGTCTTACTAGATATATCATCACATATGCTATACTCTGATGATAACGCGTACACGTGGTAGGTATTACATAAGTACCTTTGAATTACCTAATATTTCATTTCACTGGCTGTGGTGGCAAGTTGACTTACCCTATGACCAAGGCCACACGACCAGACGGCCAGACGGCAGAAGTCAAGCAATCACACATAATTCACATTACAGTAGTTGGTAAACAAACTACACATTTTTCATAGACATTACAACTTATATGCGCTGTTGTGTCTATGGTAAATTGACATCGTTGTGCATGACAATAGTAAGTACAATATTACGTTACAAATTAACATAATATGATACTGATCGACACTAAACGAAGCAGAGTCGCGCTCTGTTCATAAGTCAACGCAATAATTAATTAGATTCATAACGAATTCATAAATTACTGCTGTGACCTATTCTGTTGTCTATATTACAACCTTAGCGGTAGATCATTAAGTTCATTTTTGAATAAAAATTTGTAACACGCCTGTATCTAATAGATAAAAACGGTTTACACAAAATACAAAGATTAGTTATAAAATACTTTTTCCTCTTGTGTGACGTAGCTCATACGTCAGAAATGTAATCGTATTTTTTATAGTATAGGGGTGCAAACGGGCAGACGGGTCAATGCAGTGCTATTGTCTAAAGAAACAGACAAGCGTTTGAATTTGGACGCTACATCGATGTCACAGCATCGAATTTCAAACTAAGTTAGTTTGTGTGAGTATGTGTAGTACGCTGTGGTAGCGCTGTACGCAGGGCTGTTTCCTTCACCTTAACACCTCCTAGGCTGTAAAATTAAGGTATAACGATTACAGCTTTTCACAACTTATCATGACTTCGGCCTATTAAAGTCAGTGTTATTTTCTTTAAAGTTTAAATGTACTTATTTAAATTGTTTCTAATTCCATAATATTCAACCATAAATATATCCATAATCAACAATGATTATTTAATATGGTTATTTAAATTGCGATATGGAGCGATACCTGCCGATTTGAGGCACCCATTGTTTATTTAAATAAAGTAAACGAATTACTACACATTGTATATTATTTATAGTGTATAGTATTTATACTGCATTATGATTTATCTAATAAAATAAGATTAGATATTTGAAGAATTTTAAACATAGTTGTTATGTAATACAAATAAATAAAAGTAGTGAATCAAACAGTTTCATAAAATAAACACAGATGGAATCTAGCTTGCAGTAATGATTTGTAACTACAATTTATCAGCGGTTTTGTGCGCATTTATACATATTTTATCAGTCACTTGTACCTCTGACAACTCGTGTGCAAATTCACTTGTACCTCCGACCACGTGTATGCAAATTCACTTGTACCTCTGACAACGTGTATGCAAATTTACTTGTATCTCTGACAACGTGTATGCAAATTCACTTGTACCTATGACAACGTGTATGCAAATTCACTTGTACCTCTGACAACGTGTATGCAAATTCAATTGTACCTATGACAACGTGTATGCAAATTCACTTGTACCTCTGACAACGTGTATGCAAATTCAATTGTACCTATGACAACGTGTATGCAAATTCACTTGTACCTCTGACAACGTGTATGCAAATTCACTTGTACCTCTGACAACGTGTATGCAAATTTACTTGTATCTCTGACAACGTGTATGCAAATTCACTTGTACCTATGACAACGTGTATGCAAATTCACTTGTACCTCTGACAACGTGTATGCAAATTTACTTGTATCTCTGACAACGTGTATGCAAATTTACTTGTATCTCTGACAACGTGTATGCAAATTTACTTGTATCTCTGACAACGTGTATGCAAATTCACTTGTACCTATGACAACGTGTATGCAAATTCACTTGTACCTCTGACAACGTGTATGCAAATTCAATTGTACCTATGACAACGTGTATGCAAATTCACTTGTACCTCTGACAACGTGTATGCAAATTCAATTGTACCTATGACAACGTGTATGCAAATTCACTTGTACCTCTGACAACGTGTATGCAAATTTACTTGTATCTCTGACAACGTGTATGCAAATTTACTTGTATCTCTGACAACGTGTATGCAAATTTACTTGTATCTCTGACAACGTGTATGCAAATTCACTTGTACCTATGACAACGTGTATGCAAATTCACTTGTACCTCTGACAACGTGTATGCAAATTCAATTGTACCTATGACAACGTGTATGCAAATTCACTTGTACCTCTGACAACGTGTATGCAAATTCACCTGTACCTCTAACAACGTGTATGCAAATTGTCATGATGATCAGTTGAGTAGTTCAAGCGTGAAAGCGTAATAAACAAACTCCCTTTAGGATTTATAATATTTATAGATTTAGGATTTATAGAAGTGAAAGAGAAACCATTAAATTGACGTATTGAATATTTACATCACCCATACATTATTTACATCATACATACATCATTATTCATTTAATAATAGTATTATAAATATATCCTGTTTTTAATATTTCGCAACCATGCCATTTGTGTTGAAAAAGTTTAGTTTTATTAGTGTAATATTATTTTACTATTACTACTTAAACCCATCTCTTATTTTTTACCGGGTATTTATAACTTATTCCTTCGGCAATAAGAGTTGCAGATAACCCACTATGCAGAATATTCATGGTAGCAGAGGAAACTTCGTCAAAGTACTGATGGACAGGGATGTCAGAGGGTTGCAGCATACCCGACTAAGTGCCTTGGATCACCAGGGAGACCGTTTCGAGACCGTTGCCAACGTAAGTGTTCTTTAGGAAGTAAGGATGCCTCGAAAGTTTATACTCTTTACCAACGCAAAATACGCGTTGTGATGCGAAGTTGCGAAAAACCAAACCATTATAAGGATAATTAATCAATTTGTTAAATTTAATTACACAAATGATGCAGTCTAAACAAGCATCCACACTTAAATAACTGACAGATAATAATTTAAAGGTTAACTTTTCCTCCTTGCTCAAGTGGTCTAATCCTGCCCACTATATCATAATTGAGAACAAGAGCTTTTTTTAAATTAATCTGTACAAATGAGTTGTAGTGAAAAAATTACTACAGCGAAGTAAGGTTTTTGATGCTCAGAAAATGTTTAGATACATATTAAAATAACTTCAGATTGTTATAAAATTATAAAGTAAAGTTATAAAAAAAATATTATACAGAATAAGTTCTAGTTACAGACGCTAAACTTCTTAATCGGATCAAGTTAAGTGGCTTCTCGAAATGCTTGTTCATAAAAAAAACAATTTGGTTTCTAAACAAATGAAGTTGAATATTGACCCCACAAATGTCAGCTATTATGATAAGCATTGACTTCATATCTTACATTGTTCATAAGAACAAAAATAATATGGCCTTCGCAAGAATATATTATTATAATGTGCTGTTAAAAATTTTATTACAAAAAGCTACAATTAGTGTTATTAGTCATAAAATATGTACATATTATTAATGGACGCGTGTAGTTTGAGGAAGTCAAGGAACAGGGCCTCAATTCTGCTATTTTATGTTAACGTACAAGCCGCTGTCAGTCCATTGATACGCTCTTGAGATGCGATAGACATCGGTCAAAATATTGGTATTCCACTAATATAAATTCACAGTGTCAATAGACTGTCGATGTAGTGGCAATGGCTTATCAATGATGATATTAAAATTGCTATATCTAGAAAATATTTTGCACATATAATTACAGACCGGATTGATACCACAGTCACACCTTTGTTAACGAGAAAAGAAAGAGAAGTTAGAGAAAACCTTTGTTAACGGTTTCCTAAGCCCAAAAACCCTCTAAAAAGGCTATAAGGGGGGGTCGATGAAATGTCACCCTGCGTGAAAAGTAACTTATAAAATATTTCGCTGTTTTAATTTCTAGATGTAAAATCGCTAAATATGTGATGTCACACTAGGGAGGACCGTCCAAGGACCCGGTGCGGGAATCAAAATACCATGAAAATCGTGTGAAATAATTTATGAAGATATAACAGAATGTTAAGTAATTTATACTCACAGATTAGGATTTAGGAGATGTGTTGTAACGCTTCTTTCATTTTCAATAAATCTGACCTTTATTTCCACGCCCGGAATAAACACTTTCCTGTGAACCGAGTTGAACTTTATTGGAGGGTTGTGGATCGCTCTGAATGGCACTGATTTTTCTTGTGATACTGTAAAACAAAACGAATGATTAATCATTTTAATTGCCATTTGTTCTTTGTTGTTCTTTGTTATATGCTAACATAACAATTATGCTAATTTCTTGCAAGAAAAAGAATCTTCGCATACAATTATAACATTATCTGCATTTACACGGTATTAGAATAATGCACATTCTATTCAAAGATGACGATTACGTCCATGTTTCAAATAATGCCCTGGGCATTATCTCAGGGCATTCTTTTATCATATAATATTGTGTTTTAAATGGTTTTGAATTAAAGCCGACCCCAACTTACTTTGGAAAAAGGAGTCGGAGGAAGATTGGGTCATAGATTGAAATACTTTACGTACATATTTACAGAAAAAGTAACACCACAGATTAATCACTTCACATCACTTGCAATAAGGATTTTAATAGACTTATTTTTAAAATGGTTATTTCAAAACTTATTTAAATATAAAAATTACAGATTTTGGACAAGTTTCCCTAAAAATTAAGGAATTGTGACAGACTGAGTAAAATCCTTTTTTCTCTATAAAATGAAAACCAAATGCTATTGAAAAAACAATTTCTTGAATAGCAGTATAACAAAGTCCAGCCTATCATCCTTTACAAGTAGTTGATCCAATATATTATTGTCTATGACAATCTTGTATTTTGTATTATAAAATTATTAATCTTTGTATTTCATATTATACTTAATTGTTGTACTAAAACAGGCAATTGAACTTTTGCGTTCATTGAATCTTTAATCTTTTAATTAATCTGCATTTACTATTGAAATTTGTGTTGTAGTTGTTTTTATTTCTTTTGTACGACATTCACGGAGTAACATGATGTACTGTTATTTGTGTTAATCTGTGAACAATATTGTAGGTCAAATGTTTATAAATTTGGTATATGAATCGTATTTAGTTATAATGCTAACATGTAACTGTTTTTTGTTCCAGAACTTCATCAACAGCCTTTAATAGTCCACTGCTGGACATAAGCCTCTCCTTAGAAAGGAGGTTTTGGCCTACTATACCACGCTGGCCAGACGGGTTGGTATAGGGCTTGTGTCAAGTTTTCCTTCTCTCTGCAGTGCCGTTGTCCTGCGTAGTTTTTTCCCTTAGTCGGCTCTTACGACACCCACGGGATGAATAGGGGTAGTGACACTCTGTATTCTTAATCCGTCACCACACGGACAGAACTTATGAGAGGATAATGACCAGATCAGATATTACCAAATTCAAATTGCATGTTTGTGAGCCTATTGCTGTAATAGGCTTCTTATCTAAAGTACAGTAAAAAGAACTAAACTTATGGATGGTAAATGTGGCCGACCTTTTTTTTGACATAGGAGGTAAACGGGGTGACGGGTTACCTGCTGGAAAGTGACTACCGCCGTCGGAGGTCACAAGCGCGTTGCAGCCTCTAAGGAAGGAGAACGCTTTATTCTTGAAGATCGTATCGGCCCAGAAATACCGCAGGGCGACAATTTGTTACACAGATTGCTTTAAATACACCTTGAGTATATCTGTCTACATGTATGTTTATGTAAGTCGGTCGAACATATGGTGGACTCGATTCGCTTTAAATAATTATTATTTACCGTTTCACTAAGTCACTTTATTACTGTGTGTAATTAAATGACTTAGCAAAATGATATTTATTTAATTATCTAATATACAAAGAAATGAGCTCACCGTAGTGCATTACATAGTTTTTAATTTTTATCATGAATTACATACAATAGAATGTCCTTTTGTATCGCTTTAATATATTTTTGTACTGTAAGTCAAGTATCAATTCTGCTTTTACCGATATCAATAAACTGCTTGAAGTGATAATATGCGAGTATTATAAATCAAAAAATCTTTATTTCTTCTAATTATTATGTAAGCGTAAGTAAGTCATAACTTATAATTGACTAATGTATGACGATAAAGTTATGTAAGTGTATCGATGAATTTTATATTCCGTTGGTGATAAGTATTTATAGAATTCATTAATCAACAATGTTACCATCAGTTATGTAGGCATTTTTTATTTTTATTAATTACTTGCTGTACCTGCCACGCTGCGTTGTGGCATATTGTGGCATTTGCAAACAAATAGATAAAATCATCGTTGAAGTGTGTTGTGTCGTGTCAAAATTTGAGCTTAACCGCTGCAGATATTTTTTTTCAGGCATAGGCATCGTGCAAGTAACCGTGTGAGCTTCATGCGCTCACGGTTACTATTATTTTGACACCTACTACAAAAACTTATTATTTTGACATTAAAAACAGACACTTTAATGTAAAGATGTATCATAGATAGATAAATAAAACTGTGGGAAAGCTGTGCTTCGGCACACATGGACCGGCTCGACCGGAGTTCACAGGAAACCGTTGTTAAGTAATTCTTTAGATACTGTACACCGAGTGAGTGCGTCCAAAGGAAGCTGAACCTTGCTGGGCCTCTGGTAACCTCCAGTATTGCCGGGGAGTGGCGCTCAAAGGCCGGTAACGTAATTGTGTCTCTTAAGAGTTGCAGGTGTCCATAGGGGACGGCACTTAACTTCAGGTAACTCGACTGCGCATTTTCCCCAACCCCCCCCCAACCATAAAAAAATTAACAAAGAAACAATATAATACTTAAAAAGTGCAGTGTGGTCCCGTGCTGCCGCCCTGGTTATGACCGGCTGGAGAGCCTCCACGGCGGCGAAGCCAGCGCGTGAAGTCTCCAGCCGGAACGACCATCTGACCATGTTGGCTCGGCGAGCGGCTTCGCGCCACTCGCGCACGTCTTCGGGCGGAGGGCGAAATCCGCTCTCTGCCCGGAAGTCAGCCACTCGCCGATAGACTTCGGCGAGCACTTCCGCCTCCAAATCCCACGGGGGTGTTCCGGCCAAGGCGCAAGCCACCTCGGTGGACACCGTGCGGTATCCGCGTATGGCTCTGACCGCCAATATCCTCTGGGGGCGCCAGAGGCGCGCCCTATTCTGGGCGGTCAGAGCCGCCACCCACACCGGTGCACAATACAGCGCCATGGACCGGACAACCCCCGCGTACAGCCACCTCGTGGGAACACTGGCCCCGCCCAAATTGGGTTAAAGTCGCCCTAGGGCGGAGGCAGTGTCCACCAACTTTGGACCAAGCTGTCGGAAGTGCTCTGCTCGACATAGGCCTACCCCAAGGTTCGCCACAACAACCGGGCCTCAATTCTGCAATTCGTCGAATGTCGTCGGAATAGTTTTACACTTATTGTATTCTACTAACTAGGTAAGACCAATGGCCTTTCGATGACTTGTAACTGAACTGCCTCTGATACAAATGTTGTCTATGTCTTTGTAATACAGGGTGGCCCAGAAAGACCGAAGTGGTGTGAATTCCTTATAACTTTTTTATTATAATTTTTTTTTTCTTTTCTTTTCAGTATTTTGTAAAGAAGACTTGGATAATTTATAATGGAGCAATACACAATTGAACAACGTGCCCAAATTGTTGAAATTTACTTTTCAAATCAACGGTCCATTGTGTTGACTCAGCGTGCATACCGTCGTCAATTTAATGTGCGGGTTGCACCCTCTCAGTCAACAATAAACCGTCTGGTTGCAAATTTTCGAGAACAAGGAGCAGTAAGGAACCTTCCTGGTCCCGGCAGACACCGAACTGTCCACACGGCTGACAATATTCAAGTGGTACAGGAGAGTATTCGGGAGGATCCAGAAACATCAACCAGGAGACGTTCGTCACAACTGGGCCTCTCAAGAACGTCGCTGCAGCGAATTTTGCACACCATAGGATTGTTTCCATACAAAATTCAACTTGTCCAAGAATTGAAACCAACAGATTACCAGCAACGACTTGACTATGCAATTTATTTCCAGCAAAAAGCACAAGAGAATCCAAATTTTATTCATAACTTAATAATGAGTGACGAAGCCCATTTTCAATTAAATGGGTTCGTTAACAAGCAAAACTGTAGGATATGGGCTACGGAAAACCCGAGAGTACTTCATCAACGACAATTGCACCCAGTTAAGTGTACCGTTTGGTGCGGTGTTTCTTCAGAAAGGATCATTGGCCCATTTTTTTTTGAAAATGAACAAGGTGTCGCCATTTCCGTCAATGGTGATCGATATCGGGCCATGTTGCAAAATTTTGTAAGGCCAGCCGTGGAAAACCATCCGCAAATATGGTTCCAACAGGATGGAGCCACAGCGCACACTGCGAGGGCCACAATGACTCTTTTACGCGACATCTTTGGTGAAAGAATAATTTCTCGTAACAGCAATTTTAATTGGCCTCCGCGTTCCCCGGATTTAACCGCTCCAGACTGTTTTCTTTGGGGCTATTTAAAAGGAAAAGTTTATGTTAATAAGCCTAGGACTATTGAGGAGTTAAAAACCAATATTCGAGAAGAAATTAACAACATACCACCGGAAGTTTTGCGAAAGGTCATGGAAAATGTGTTGGAAAGAGCACATTTGTGCGAAGCAGAATATGGCCACCACTTGCGGGATATCATTTTTAATAACTAATCCAAAAATATTCCCCATAAATTTAATGTATTTAAAAAAAAAAAAATTAAAAAAATATCTCTTAAATAAAAAGTTATAAGCAATTCACACCACTTCGGTCTTTCTGGGCCACCCTGTAGTTTGGTAAACGGTACATTTTAAATTTGCAAGAAAATAATATATATATTTAATTTTCCAGGTATGGCTATGTTGTTGATATCACCATTGATGACCTACTATAGAAAACCTTAAACCTTCTTTCTAAGGAGAGGCCTATGTCCAGCAGTGGACTATTAAAGGCTGTTGATGTGATGTGTGACCTACTATATCGACAGTCTATTGAAACTGTGAATTTATGTTAGTAGAATACTGATATTTCTTACTGCCCGCATCCAATGGCTTCCCGCAGTAAAAAAAAATAGTATGAGCGAATAGTGTGCAGAAGTTCATCGGTTGTAACGTTATACATTTACGTATCGGATATGATAACTTCTCAAATGATGATAAAATGCTATTCGTAGGTGGTGCGTAGGAAACGTTACCAATCAAGTAATCAGCGGTAAAAATAAACGATGATAACTACGATTAGTAAAGATTGAAGTATAATTTATAAATTTAGCTATTTTCCTCCTTGAAATTAGGACTGATATTTTTCATTTGATCTAAGTCGAAAGATCCAGATCGAAACGATAACAAAGCCATATTAAAATATTCAGTATTATCGTTCAATGACGTCACTAAAATACATAATTGGTTAAATTACTAATTAAATATACTATTAATGGAATTATAAGTTTTAAAACCAAAACAATAAAATTAAAAAAGTCCTGAATTAATCCTCCCCTGTATGAATTCGACATTGTGAACTTGAAACTGACTTAGACGTAAAGTAAATTTCACACGAATCTAGTCAAAAGACACGTGCGTTGTCAACTTTTGAGTACCTTCCCACTGAGAATCAGGGTAGGAGTAGGAGAGGGGAGTGTCTTCCAGTAATCTCACTAACTTAGAAAAAAACAACGAGAGAATTGTTTAACACTGGTTTTCTGTGTGCCGTGGTATTACTCCACTGAAGTCGGTATATTGTGTCGAAGCATGACTCTACCACCGTCAATTGACTATCGTAGGTTATTGCTTGATAAATCCTTGTCCATGCCCATTTAGGGTTTTGGAAACGACAACAAACGACGGGAAATTTGCCATCATTGAATGGCCTAGCACTGAACATAGACAAATGTAAATATATACCATTCTCACGCAGTACTCACTTGAACTCGCAGACATATACAATTAATAACAGGAAATTGGAGGAGGTTGCAAGTTTCAGGGACTTGGGAGCTGATTTGGATGGCAAAATTAGATTCCACAGTCACATTGACAAAATAACAACGAAAGCATTTAAGATGTTGGGCTATTAATATATCTTTACCTTTGAAATTGCCGTTTTGTATGCAATAAGTGAAAGTACTTATTTTTTCAAACTTTTTTATTTCTGTTATTCGAAGTAATCACCCATGCAATCGACGCATCTTTGCCAACGCATTGGCAGTTTATTGATGCCCTTCTTGTAAAAATCAGCTGGACGGGAGGCAACAAACTCTTCAAAGGAATTTTGTACTGCCTCTCGGGAATTGAATTTTTTACCCACTAAAAAGTTGTCTAAATTTTGGAAAAAGTAATAGTCGGTAGGTGCAAGGTCTGGTGAGCATGGCGAATGAGGAAGAGCTTCCAACCCCAGCTCTTGCAGCTTGAAGACTGTCTGTTGCGCAGTATGGGGTCGCGCGTTGTCGTGAAGGAGCAGTGGGGACGACCGATTGACCAAAGCTGGTTGCTTGGTACTCACCAGACCTTGCACCTACCAACTATTACTTTTTCCAAAATTTAGACAACTTTTTAGTGGGTAAAAAATTCAATTCCCGAGAGGCAGTACAAAATGCCTTTAAAGAGTTTGTTGCCTCCCGTCCAGCTGATTTTTACAAGAAGGGCATCAATAAACTGCCAATGCGTTGGCAAAGATGCGTCGATTGCATGGGTGATTACTTCGAATAACAGAAATAAAAAAGTTTGAAAAAATAAGTACTTTCACTTATTGCATACAAAACGGCAATTTCATAGGTAAATACCTATTATAAGGAACTCTAAAGATTTTAAAAGGCCACAGACTAAGATTAGACTTTTTTCGGCCTTGGTTCGATCTGGTCTGGAATATTGTGCTCAGGTCTGGTCACATCACTACGAGGTACATATCAAACGTCTCGAAAGTATCCAAAAGCGTTTTCTCTGGCACCTTTCATACCAGTGCAATAAAGTAAAACTGCTGCCGACGTATGAAAGTCGTTTAAATCATTTTAATCTCCACAGTTGGTTCAATCGTAGGCAGTTATTGGATCAGATTCTGCTTTACAAATTAGTTAATGGTGACTTAGACTGCTCCATTCTTGTTGAGAAAATAAATATAAATGCTCCCTCAAGGTTTCTCCGTGCCAATAAATACGCTCCTTTTTCAATTAAAACTTCTAAAACCAACTTGGGTCAGAACGCTACTATGAACAGATTACAAAGCCAGTATAACAAGCTGACGAAAAATCGTGAAATTGATGTGGACATCTTCTCAAACAGTCTTCCAAAATTTAAAAGCAAAGTTATTGCGTCATTTAGACCTTCTTAGATCACTTTAAATGCATCACTGTCTCTAAGTAATTTCGATGATATTCTGTATGTTTTGTATATTATATATTATAGATATTGCATTGTATAATCTTAGATGTAACTGTTCCTTACCATGCCGTGGCAACTTGTAAGACAACACTCAGCAAATATTGGTAAAACATGTTTGTAAACTATGTAGTAGTGTATGTTTTGTCAGTTGTCCTAAATAAATAAATCATTAATCATATCATGTAGAGTTGAACGTCAGTAAAGGGAAAACCATTGCTCTAGGGAATATCTAAAGGCATTTTAATGAAACAGTATCGTTTTTAATGATTTCATCTCTGACGTATACTTTACGTTTACCTTGTGGAGGTTCGTCATACATTGGAGTAAGCCATTGTAGAGAATGAATTTGATTCTTATGAGATTTCTAACTATTCAAACTAATATAAAGAATACGAAAGAGAGTTTGTGTCAACGATGAAACAAAAAAGAGCTGAGCTGAAAACAGATAGAGTGGTGGAGTCACTGGGATACAAAATTTAAGAAGTGTTAGAGAAGTATAGTCGCTGTCTTAAAATATTAGACATGAAAATGCTCTGTTTTATGGAATGATAACGAATACAATTAAATTTAAAACAAAGCAAAAGGTTTGTTGGGTTGCAAGTTCAAAATTAATCTTAAACTCTTCATCTCATCTCATAAGGCTCAACCCCATGGAAACGGACGGTTGTGGATTGGCACAGGCATGTCATAGATTTTGTATTGTAACCATAAAGTTATACAAAATCTATGACATGTGTGAGTGAGTCTATAGTGTGTGTGTTGATCTACGACTTGAGTCTACATAAAAGACGATTTCAAACAATTTTTTTTTTGAAATAAAGATATTTAGAATTTAAATTTCATAAAAAAATCAATAAAATTAGTTATTGTTGTGTCCAGCTATACGTAAAGCGCATTATAGTTTTATAGACCACTTCAATCTTGTATTACCTAGTATATAGACTAGTAATATAGCCTCAATATAATATAAAGGAAGACGCGACGATAGATGTAAAAAGGTAACTTACTCGTCTACTGTCCTGTATTAAGTACTGTCCAAAAAATTAATTAAATAGAATTATTTAAATAAAATTAACTTAAGGCGTCCAACTTGCGGGACTGGAACGCCTCCCAGTCCCATCCATGAGAGCCCCGTTGGAGGGTTTACAAAGAATAGTGAGTCACAAGTGCACTAAATTCCTGAAGATATTTGACCACTTTACCCCCAGACAGACGGCCAACAAAGTGAAGCAAGAACCTATGGAAATAACCTATAACGGTTACTATTTCCTTTTGAGAAACGGAATCCTAAAAAAATACCTAAAACATATCCTATGAAGTAGTACATATTATTTGTTGTTTCTTTATACTTACCACCAGCTCCATTTTCTCTATTGTCGATTTTATCAGTGTCTATCATCGACAGTGATTCAGGTATAGCGAGGCTTTCATCAAACTCGGAGTCGAGTGTAGGGTTCAAGGAGTCTAATTGTTGAAATAGTCCTGGTATACAGTCACCAGGTGTCGTAGTCGGTGTCGGGCTGTCCATCCCGTAGTTTGTATAACTATAGAGCTGCTCATCTGTCAAATTAACAAAATAGAATATTAAGCCTATATGGGTAACAAAAATTAACTAAGAATCACAAACCGCTTGAACCCAACTACAGAAGTATACTAAGAAGGGGTCATCCATAAATTACGTTACACATAAAGGGAGGACAGGATCAATGAAGTGTGGCATTGTGTAACAAGGGGTTGGAGGGATCCTAAGCTTCGTGACATCACATTTTAAAATCTAATATGTATAACAGCACTGCAAAGAGAAGAATAGCTTGACACAAACCCTTTTTTTTTTTTTTTTTTTTTTTTAACGTGTGGAAATCCCCTCGGACCGTCACCCCTCCGGGGTTTGCGGCGGGGTGGTGTGTCGGACTCGGACCGACTAAAACCACACGGTGTGCCACTCTGCGCCTGTAACAGGAGGGATCCGGGAACAGCTGTTGTTAAGACATCCGGACCCCTCCTAGCGCCAGCCCGCTCCTGGTGCGGGCTCCGTCTCAATGTATTTTCCTCTCTTTAGGCGACGTCCGGCACACGCGGACGCCGCCCCCTCGCGGCTGGCCAACTAATGCGGGTGAAGGGGAAACCCACCCCGTCCACCCGCGGCCACACTCAGGGCGGCATGAGGCTGTGGTAGGCGGGCCTCCGCCGCCCGGTTCGCCGGCGGCGGATCGGGTCCGAGTGGAGGTCGTCCTCCCGGGCCCTCTCCGCCGCCTCCTTCCGCGAGATTACTACCTCGCAGAAGGTTGCGACCGCGGTAAAACAACTGTCGCTACCGGCCATGGAGCGTACTACGGCCGGTAGCGAGAGATCCACCCCGATGACTGCAGTGAGGGCCCGGCGCTGCGCCGCCCATGCGGGGCAGACCGCCAGCGTGTGCTGGGCCGAGTCCTCACTGCAGTCGCATTGGTGGCAGGCGGGACTCAGTTCCCTCCTAGCGACCGTGTGCAGGTACTTTCCGAAGCAACCGTGCCCGGAAAGCACCTGCGTCAGTCGGAAGGAAAGGGTCCCGTGCTGCCGCCCTGCCCACTCGGCGATGACCGGCTGGAGAGCCTCCACGGCGGCGAAGCCAGCGCGTGGAGTCTCCAGCCGGAACGACCAACGAGCCATCGTGGCTCGGCGAGCGGCTTCGCGCCACTCGCGCACATCCTCGGGCGGAGGGCGAAATCCGCTCTCCGCCCGGTAGTCAGCCACTCGCCGATAAACTTCGGCGAGCACTTCCGCCTCCAAATCCCACGGGGGAGTTCCGGCCAACGCGCATGCCACCTCCGTAGAAACGGTGCGGTAACCGCGTATGGCTCTGACCGCCATTACCCTCTGAGGGCGCCAGAGGCGTACCCTATTCTGGGCGGTCAGAGCCGCCGCCCACACCGGTGCACCGTACAGCGCCATTGACCGGACAACCCCCGTGTACAGCCGTCTTGTCGCGACGCTGGGTCCACCCATATTGGGCAAAAGTCGCCCTAGGGCAGACGCAGCGCCGACCAGCTTTGGAGCAAGCTGTCGGAAGTGCTCGTCGAAGAGCCACCTCCCGTCGAGGATCAGGCCCAGATATTTCATCTGGGCCCGAACCGGTACGAGGACCGAGTTGACCACGATTGAGGCGCCAGGGGGTGGACCACGACGGGGCCCATGAAATAACAGGGCCTCCGTCTTATCTAGGGCCACCCGTAAGCCCAGCGCCTCAATGCGCCCGACCACCAGGGAGACTCCCCCTGTGGCCAGGCGCGCCGCCTCTTGGAAGTTTGCCCCCCGGGCTGTCACGAGGGTATCGTCTGCGTAACAGATTACACCCAGCCCGGGGGGGAAATCGGCGCGAAGGGCCCAGTCGTACCCTATGTTCCACAAGAGGGGTCCAAGAACAGACCCCTGTGGAACACCGCACGACATGGGCCGACTCCTCAAATTACCTTCTCGGTCCTCGTACACGACGGTACGCTCCTCTAAATAGTCTGCCACCAGCCGCCTCAGGTACTTTGGCACCCCATGATAGTGGAGTGCTTCCCTGATGCAGCTGAATGGCAGACTATTGAATGCTTTGGCGATGTCCAATGACACCGCCAACAGCACGCCGCCACAGCTCACGGCCTCTTCGGTCACGGCCCTCAGGCGCAACACAGCGTCGACTGTCGAACGCCCCGCCCGAAAACCAAATTGGGCGTCCGACAGATCGGGGCCCACCTCGCAGAGGTGCCGGACGATGCGGGCAGAAAGAACCCTCTCAAACAATTTGCCCGCCTCGTCCAGCAGCACGATGGGCCTATAGGCCGCGACCGAATCGGCAGGCCGTCCCGGCTTCCTCAATAGGACCAGCTTCCCGCTCTTCCAGCACTCAGGGAAGCGTCCCGACGCCAAGCTAGCGTCGAACACCTCCCCGAGGCGGTCTGCCAAGTGGTTGAGGGCCAGGGCCAGCACTCGGGCCGGTACCCCGTCTGGCCCAGGGGCGGTGTTCGTGGAACGGATCCGTAGAACAGCCGCCCCTACCTCCGAATCCCGGACGGGCGGAACATTTTCCTCCCCGTGCTCCCCGTCGTCTCCGGCCAAGGAGGCCATCGCCGGGGGAGTGTGTTCCGCTCGTTGCGGGAAAAGGCCCTCAACCACTTCTCGCAGGAAGCTGGGCTGGAGAGTCTCCGTAAGGGGGGGGCCCGACGCGCGGAGCTTTTGTCGCACCGCGCGGTAAGGGCGACCCCAGGGGTCACGATTAAGACCCTCCAGCATCTCCTGTCTTTTTTCTTCTTTGGCGCGGCTAATGGCCAGCTTCAGAGTTTTCCGCGCCCGTCGGTACTCCTCATGAAGCCGGTCCTCCTCACCGTCTCCACGGTGACGCCGCCGACTGCGCGTGTAGGACCTCCGGGCACTTGTACAGGCCGCGCGGAGGTCCGCCAGCTCCTGGGACCACCAGTAGACCTCCTTCCTTGGAGGCCGACGACCTCGAACGCGGGGCATGGCCGCATCGCATACATGCGTAATCGCATCGCGAAAGCGGCCAGCCCCCACGTCGACCTCCTCGGTCGGAGCCTGAGGAGACAGCCACGAGTGAATTATGGCTGCCTCCTCTAGTAGGTCCCGGTTCAGCCTGGCAACAGCCCACCGCGGAAAGCGGGATAAACGCCGCGCCACGTGACCCCTACTGGAGTCCTGGGTCCGGGAGAGCTCAAATCGGATATACAGGTGATCCGAGAGCGTCTCAACCTCTTCCAGGACACACCAGTTCCTTACTCGTGCGGCGAGGGCAGGGGTAGCGAACGAAAGGTCCACTATCGACCCCCCCTGCTATCGCACGCACGTGTTGGTGGAGCCTCTGTTTAGAAGACAGAGGCCCACCGAGGCCGCCCACTCCTCTACGGCCTCGCCCCTGGCGTCCGTCCTGGGGGAACCCCACGCAGTGGACTTTGCGTTGAAGTCCCCCAGCACAAGGACGTGCCCAGACGCTAGTCGCCGTATCGAGGTCTCCAAGCTGGTTAGGAAAACCTCGAAGTCGTTCAAACTCCGGTTGGGGGAGAAATAGACACCATATATGGTGATCCCCCCCCACTCGACGGCAACATATCCAGTGCCCTTGTCTCTTAGCGACAAGGGCGGGGAATGAGCCGTCGTGGAACCGACGACTGCCACGGAGCCGTCCCAGTCACCCATCCAGTTTGGACGGGGAGGGACAGAATAGGGCTCCGCGACTACGGCAACACCTATCGACCACTGTGCCATGGTTTGCAGGAAGAGATCCTGCGCCGCGGCACAGTGGTTCAGGTTCGTCTGGACCAGGAGGTTGGAGACTTGATCCATTACTGGATCGTCTCTACAACCTCCTCCATGGGCGACGACGTCGACGCACGAACTACATCGGAGGCAGCCTGGGTCGACTGGCTAACCCCCGACGTCTGCCGAGAACTGCGGGGAGGCTTGCAGCCTCTCTGCCCCATCTGGTGATTGGCGGGCTTATTGCCCGCCGCACACACTGGGCAGTGAGGGGCGGCAGAGCATTCTGCCGCCTTATGCCCCGGTTGACCGCAGCGGAAACACAGTCCGCCGCAGTCAAAACAACTGTCGCACTTGACGCGCGTGTGAGCTTGACACAAACCCTATACCAACCCGTCTGGCCAGCGTGGTATAGTAGGCCAAAACCTCCTTTCTGAGGAGAGGCCTATGTCCAGCAGTGGACTATTAAAGGCTGTCGATGATCTAACAGCAATGATATTAACAATATATTTATTAATGCCATTGCCATAGTAATCATTTACTATATTTTTTTAACTTGTATTTTCTCATGTAACTTTTAAATTTTAATATGTAATACATATCAAATGTGATATTTCCCATTCATCATCATCATCATCAACAACTTTTAATAGTCACTGCTGGACATGAGCCTCTCCTTAGAAAGAAGGTTTTGGCCTACTATGCCATGCTGGCCAGACGGGTTGGTAAAGGGTTTGTGTCAAGTTTCAGTTCTCCCTGTAGTGCTGTTGTCCTGCATAATTTGCTCCCTTAGTCGCCTTTTACGACACCCACAGGATAAATAGGGGTCTTGACACTGTATTCTTAATCCATCGCCACACAGACAGTAAGTAATAACTATATTTTCTCTGATACAAAAATGTAAGTATTATTTTAAGGAAATAAATAAGTCTCAGACCTATTATTATCTATATCATTGTTCAAGTACATAAATCAATAAAATATTTTGCTAAACAATATCTATTATAAGTTATTAACTTACCATAGAGATGTCTATTAAGACTATAAATGTGATAAAAAGCCTGAATAGGGCATTATAAACACAAAAAATAACAAAGACATCTCAACTAGTTGCTTGATAGTAAACTTGGCAGGGTATTAAGACAACCAGATTGCTGATCTAAATACTATTCTTTATTCTTAATTTGTAATATTAATAACTTGATACTTTTTAATTTGGGTTCAGACGAACATGGATAAGGTAAAGATATTTGTCTGATCCCAAATTAAAAAAGGATTGATAACATCATATTTTAGATAAAAACACTTAGATATAAAATTAATGATCATACTTATAAAACATGAGTGGCTTCAAATCTAGAACTGCCGCTCAGGAGTCAGAATCATTGCACACTATACAAACTGTCTTATATTTTATATTCCTTTTATTATGTTTAGTATTTATATCTTAATACTTATTTGAATCTCATTTATCATATCAATCTCATCACTCATGGCAATTTATTATTTGATAAGATTCTGACTGCCGAGCAATGGATGCTTCAGTTTTCCTTTCCTTTTCCTTCCTTCATTTGTTTAGCTGTAATACGTGAGCAAAATGTTGCATTTGCCTTTAAGTGTTTGAAACGCTAATGTTGTGTCAACTATGAATGATGTTTTGTAATATTTGTGTATACAAACATTGGTGACCTTAATAAATAAAAAAATAAAAATCTGTTTGATTCCCACCCAGGACAAATAAGGATGTAATAAAGCATGAGCTTAGGCAGGTATTTACTCTGAGCACATAAGCTGCCTACTACTTCAAAATATTATTGACTGTTATTAATATTTTGCTCTTTGAAAAGTAAAACAGTACAGATTGAATTCTACTGAACCTATATTGTTTTAAATTGTTTCTTATTGAGGATGCATAAGTGCTATGAATGACTTGTTCAGATACCTCATTCGGAAATTTCTTATGCAGTACACCACTTATATTAAGTATGCACTTTGTGTCTAAGATATTTTTCATCTAAACCATATTTTGTTAACGGTACAAAGTTTATTATTTTCCATAAGTGCCAAGAGTGTACACAGATTTCCTTAATTTCTTTTAGGTTCAGTCGAAGTAAACTTAAGTACAATATAGGAACACTGTTTACAGAAACAAAATATGATTATTATACATAGAAATTTATAGATCATTTTCCAGTATTTTATTACAATAGTATTAACAACTCTAAGAGTAATGTAAGAGTGTGTTTTATTCATTGTGATGTAATGACGGTAATCAGTCAGATTCGAAAAGATTATCTTGTACTTGATAATTCAATTTCCGAGGAAGGTTATAGCAGCTTATGATCAGAATAGTGTTCACAAATGTAGACGGGCAGGATAATAAATAAATTATATACTATTTATAGCAACAATAGCTACTTGTTACAATAACAACATTTTAGTTTTTCATATAAAAAACATTTATTGTAATGTAATTATGTATTGTAATTTTGTATATTTATGCTATCAAGTGTTTTTATATACTATATATTCTCTTAAATACTTTATTTACATTTTTGTACTGTAATATTTAATGGTTAATTTATTCTTTGCATTGTACATTGTATAATATTTATGAAGAGATCCTTAGATAAAGTTTAGTCACGATTTATTACTAAGTAAACCTCTTTTCTAAGGAGAGGCCTATGTCCAGCAGTGGCCTATTAAAGGCTGTTGATGTGATGATTACTAAATATTCCGCTTGCACTATTTTGAATATATTTTCTATTGGTGAACGGACGATAACAATAAACCTTTATTTAATTTTATTTTTTTTGTCTTATCTAATGCATGTTCTTAAGAAGACCAGGTAGTTACAAGGTTTATTCTTCTGATGTTATAAAATAATTAATGTGAATTTTAATCTATTTTAATGCAATCAAGCTACTACTAAGTTAATACTTATTTAACTTCTGATTTTATCAAAGACAATAACAATCAAACAGCCTTACAAGTAAAGAGTTAGATATTAGATTATACTTTAATTAATATCAAAGCCACAAAGGCAACAACTTTAAAATTAGAACCAATTTTCAAATAAAGAACAGACACCTTACCTCGTTTGATTAAGTTATGGAAACTCAATGTCAACTCCTTACGTTCCATACGTTTGTTGGTTATATTATTTTCTGTATTTTCACTATTAATAGCACGGTACCCAGCTGGGTGTTGAAAACTAATGTGTTGTCCATTACACGGTACAAAAACGGCACTTGTGTACATAATCTATGACGATAAGATAATAAAATATCGCGATTAAAATAGTACTGTTTTGACACTTGCGGAAAGAGGTTGTTGCATTGTGAAAATACAATGTTTTCATGGCAGAAGTAGTTCCGACGACTGCGACTCGTCGTTCACGACTGAGTGAGCAAGACCTTTAAAGTTTTTGCGGTTAGATTAGTAAAAAGTGTAAAAACCATTACTTACTAAAATTGTTTCAGTTAGGAAATGATCTTCGCAGAGTGCATGGCGGAGAGGCTATGGCGGCTACAAAGGCGCCTAAAGCCCGGATGTACTAATGTCCAAGTCATTCGAGTAATCAACTAGGCAGTTCAAGGATTTTCTCGGTTAACTGAACTGCCAGTAAAAATGACGTAATTATAATAGTTGTTCTTTGTTGTGTTTTGATGACCACAGTGGTTGTAAACAGTTTAAAACATTTTAATTTATTCTAAACGAAAGTTTTTTGAAGTGTGTTGTGGGGTTACCCAGAATCACCATTAGTTTATTGGGGTTAGATATCAGTAAACTACAAGGAATTTGGGAGTTCGACTACTAATTTCATTTAGTTTTTGTATAAGTGACATATTGAATAATTAATTACAGTCTGGTCAGAATTTTTACAACTGCCACACACATTATAACAATTGGAGTGTCATTATTAACCCTTTAGAAAATTACTGACCATACTCTTTCCTATAAAAATGTTTATAACAACTGATAAGATTCCGCCCTGTGACGTGAGTACCTAGTTGACGCAATGAGTCAACGTCGTCATGAGCAACGTCAAAGTTGTCAATTGAAAACTGACAACGTTCGGAAAGCTGCATGATTCTAAAATTGTTAAATTGTTTGTTGACAGTCTAGACATGGGACTTGATGGGACAAAATAACAGTGAACTGTGATTTATCATTCGATTTTTGCGTACGTAGATTAGGGCTGCCAGGTAGGTAGGTAGGTAGGTTAGATGCTATTTAACAGTAAATCTAGAATATTTTAATTATCATGTAGGGAATGGTAGCTTTATATAATAAAATAATTACTAGATTTACTGTTAAATAGATGAAATAGGGTCTTTATGAATCTTCTGAAAACAGCTTATTGGCAACAACGCGTGAGTAAGGAATAACCTTAACCTACGTACGAAAAAATCGAATGATAAATTACCGTTCATTCACAGTTCACTGCGATTTTGTCCCATCCATCTATAGATAAGGCCTGCTTAAAATCAATTAAACCCATCCGTTAAAAACGAAAAAAACCGTTTAAAACCATTTCTTTCGATTTAAAAACGGTTGGTGTTGATGACAATTTTTCTTTTAATTATAACTACATTTTCTTGATTTTACCGAGGTAGGGATATGACGGAGTACCTATAAACTGTGAAAAGATTTTTATATGTGTGTGTGTGATACTGTTATAATTAGCGGGTTTAGTTCTAGTTGGTAGTCCGACCAAGCGTAGTAGACAAACCTACCTAAGTTATAAAAACTCTATTGATAAGTTAAAAACTCTGTGTTAATAAATAACCATTTTTTTATTGTTTTCAAACGATATAAATAATCAGTTTGATTCGGTTTAAAACCAAACTCAAACTCTCGCACTCTCGTTGACACCGTCGGCACCGACGCAACGGCCTTGAAGACATCACGTTGTCTCTTTCATGCGCATTTAAAACGGTCAGCATTGTGTTAATGATGTCTTCTAATCTAGTGTGTGTAGTATAATATAATAAATAAGTATTGGTAGGTATTCCTCCTTTCTAAGGAGAGGCTTATGTCCAGCAGTGGACTATTAAAGACTGTTGATGATGAGGTATTCCTACATACCTACTTAAGTTTTCGTGATGTAAGGAATGTAGGAAGGTAGTTTCTATTGATTTGCTATAAACTAATTAAAACGAAACATGATCACAGGCGACCAAACATTGCCCACAATGAAGTGTAAAACACAGTTTTTTTTTATGTATGTCAAGAGACATCAAAGATCCATCATCAATCATGGCCGCTATGAGCTGTCAAAACCAGGTCATCCCTGTTGGTAGACCCGTTTTATTAGAAACTAACAGACAGACTTTGTTCTGACAAAAGTTATTGGCCTGTCATAGTCAAATAGAAAAAGTAATTAAATAGTATGTACTTCAGAGTGATCACTTTTCTCCGAACTTTATTTTGGACAGGCATAGATTAATATCCAAACAGCCTAAGCCTAAAACTTGTCTAACGCCTTCTTAAGAAATACAAGCAATTATACACTTAACTTGTACTATGTGTTCTTTTGTTGCAAGGTAACTACTTGCAACATGTAGAATCATTTAATTGTAACATTCTGATAAAATATCTAGTTTCTCATTTATTTCGATGGCAAATACTTACCATATTTTTATTTTAAACCACCTTTTCAGGGTCGCGTGGTGACGTAGACGAATCAAGAATACGGAGTGTCACAACCGCTATTCCATTCATCCTGTAGTGTTGTAAGAGGCGACTAAGGGAGTAAACTACGCAAGACAACAGCACTGCAAAGAGAAGGAAAACTTGACACATACCCTATACTAACCATAGAGATAAAAGAATGAAACCTAATCCTTTGAGGTGTCCCGCGCTGTACGCAGAGGACCTCTATATCTTTCTCTCACTGCATAACAATCGTGATTATGAGTGACGTGATTGTGCATGTGCGGAAATTGAGAAAGAGATAAAGAGGGCCTCTACGTAGTCTGCGTGCAACGATTTCGCTCGCTCCGTGAGACACGGTGCGGATTCCCTTGCGTGCTCTATTTCTTAAATTATCTCTATGATACCAACCCGTCTGGCCAACGTGGCCAAAATGTCCTTTCTAAGGAGAGTCATTTCTATGTCCAGCACTAGATTATTAAAAGCTGTTGATGATTTCAGGACCATAATAATATGACATGGATTTATACAACAACAAAATCAATATATTTTCAAGCAAATTCAGTAGAAGGCGTTGCTCGTCATAGACTAGCTACGGTGGCAGTATTCTTTACAGGATAAGTTTTGTGTAAAACAGTAATCCTTTTTGCGTAATTATTACTGTCTGGTCTGGTGGTCGGTGGTCCTTACCATTAATACAGAGATCAAGGGTTCGATTCTCATCTGAAAAAATAACTGCCCGATGACGATCCTTTATTCAGTGACTGGTTATAATTTATCTGGATATACATATAAATAAAATTGGAGTGTCTGTGTGTGATATCTATATCTAATCAACAGAATTAAGAGAAAAACCTGTATAGTATTTTTCAAGTTTGCAGGTTCACTTGAGAGATGGCGTTAAATTATATATATCGTGAATGCTTTTAATAAATCAGTTAAACGTAATTCTAACGAGCACATCAAAATAATTTTTTTTTTTACTTTTCAATGTTTTTTTATATCTACGGAGTGTACCTTTAACTGAAAAAAAACGGTCCAAAATTAGTTTACAACATTCAAAAAGTACCTTTATGAAAACTAATTATATTATAGACTACTACGTTTAAATATTTTTTTGTAACATAAGTGCAATAATTATTTCTGTTCAGAATTTTCTTTATAATGATTTTCAGAAAATCTGAGATGATTGATATTCTCAGTTTAGATATTGTGATTTGTGTTGTGTGTGTGACACGTTTATGATGATTTCAAAACTATCGTACCTAATACATATCTACTTGAATAAAAAAAAATTAGAAACCTGTTTTTATAACTTTTTTCCCATTACAAATTACAATTAATGGCAAAATTAGGGCGCTTTGACATTTATCACATTCTTCTTTAAAGTCACCCAAACAAATTAATGTTAAAGTCCAGTATTCCAGAAAAGTTTACATTTTACTTCCATAGATGGCAATAGCATCTAATAATTTTATGCAATTTGAATTTAGTTCAGTGAGGTTCAGTGTGTATTTCAAGAACACGTTCGCGCGCTATGGTCAAAATAAAAATTAATTCGTAAAGTATTACAAATTCCTAAAAATCTTACAAATTTTTGTTCATTTGGAAGGTTTGTATCAATATTAGTTATTCATGCGAAAGAAGCCGCTGGCGTCAGCTCGTCTCTAATACGTACGTATTTAGTAATTTATAAATATGTTACTTTCAAATCACGTGTGTTTTGGTAACTTATTATTATTAATATCAGAGATCCCTGGCGATGGAATTTTGACCGTTTTAAATATCTTATTCCATTCATAACTTTAACATGAGCTGTCATTGTATAGACTTTTGTACCATGACAGTGATGACAGATCAAAATATTTAGTAGGCAAAATATTTAGCTTTATGTGGACGTTTTTACATTACTTTTTGTTTTAATTTTAGCTTGCCGCAATTCTTCTACATAAAAAACTTTTGTAACAAACTTTAAACATTTCAAATATGAAATGCGTCTGTGCCACTTTCATCAAGTCGGTGGCCCATCGCTGTTGGCTGTGTAGCTGTCATGTCAACGGCTGGAGGCGGACTGCTTAAGACCGGGATAGTTGTCGCTCCTTGGGGCAGCTTTTCGTTCAGCAATAGATGGCGATAGGCTGATGATGCTTCTGTGGGTCATATTTGTTTAAAAAATTAAACAAAGTTTCCAGTATTTGCCCGGTTTCACCGGTATTCTGTGAGGGCGTGTCACTCCGGTCAATCCGGTTGATATTATTTTCTGCCAAAGCATGGCTCTAACACGGCTAACCCTATCTTTCTAATAAATAAATAACCTTTTAACAAGGCTAATTAAAATCAATTGGCTATTCCATCTTAGAGTTTTTGATACAAATCGAGTTGTCTTGTTTGAACATTCAAATAAGTGCAGGCTGTCTAGGCAGTTATACAGCATAAAGATGCTTGTGTTTGTAGTTCTGTCAAGTTTGAATAATTAATCATTTTAAAGGCAAGCTGAATCATTTTGGTAGTTTTTTAACTGTCACTGTATGACAGCAAGGCGACCAAATGAAGTCTCCGATTCTGCAAGAACGTTACAAAACTTGTCATATATTTTTTATTTGTGGTTATGGAATGCGGTTGGTAGAATGCGGAAGAATAAACTTATAATGTCTTAGCAAAATTTAAATGCTAATTTATTTTGTTGGAATTTTCAGCTATGAAGGATTATGGGCAAAACAATTATTTTATTAAAAAGGCAGACTTCATTTCGCCTAGATTATGATGAATTGAATCAAATGCGGTATGCAGGGGTTGCGGAGGACGTGTCAATGCGCAGTGATTGGATATTTCAAAGTCAAACATAAAATGCGCCAAACTATAGTGATGGGACAGGGTTGGGACGTTGATCGAGAAAATGATTTGATGATCTTTAATTATTGATATTTATTTTATTCTGGATTTATTGATTATTTACAAATAAGTCTGTTGATCAATATTTATTGGTCATTTATTAAAAAAAAAAACACAATATATATATATTTCTGTGCCTCCTGTGAAAAGTGATAAAGTGAAAAATCAATACTTTACAGGAGAACAAAAATAATATTTAAAATTCTAGTTCGTGATCTAAGTGGACTTGGTTAAATTTGTACCTTCTTTTGTAGATAAAAACATTCACTTCACTTTTCATTTAATATTATATTTTTAAGATAATTCTTGAAGAACCTGTGAAAAAAAGGTACTCATTGATAATACATGCTCAAATTATGTGATAAATCATACAAGTCCAGTTAAATTATGTTGCACTTATAAGCTGTCTACGTGTAAATTGATATTTATTAAGTACAAATATCTAATAACTCATTACAATATGTTTGTAGCGCAAAGTTATTCAAAGAAATGTAAAAATACTACACCAAAACAATAATTTTTTACATTGTTTTCATAATCATCATAATAAAAAATTACATTTCAGTGTTTTCATAATTTGGCTGAATGGTATCAGTTTGCCAAAATCTTGTCTTTTAGATTCGGATTTTCATTTAGAAATTTAGATACGGATCTGTTCAAAGTTATATAACTGTAATTATATCGATATTCTTGATAAGTATACTGAAAAATAAAATTTGAAAATTCATATAATCGGACTACGTTATACCACTAAGCACAAAAAATAATGTGTACAAGAATAAATTTATAGAGGTTACAACTTTACGATATTTTTGTAAAAATCTTGTCAGTTATATCACTTCGCACAAAATCATCTCCGAAACTATAGTAAATACAAGAACGTGAGTAAAAATGGGAGAAAAACATAAAGTATTTTTCTAAATATTTCTATGTAAAAATCACAAAAAAGCTACAACTCGATTTAAATCACTGATTACAGTAGGCACAGTTTTGTATTTCTGATTTTTAAATATATATTTCAATAATTTTTAAAATGGATGAATTAAGTATAAATACGTCTCATAGAATCCTTAGGATCTGTCTTCCTTGTCTTCGTACAGCCTTCTACGGTTTTTCATAATATAAAGATTGTCTTCTGTGCAGTGTCTGAGCATAACACACCATTTGGTAGAAAAATCCAAAAAAATCCGATTCCCGGGTCAGACCAAATGTTTGTATGATCTGTGACTATTTGTTTCGGAGTTTGGGTGAAATCTATGTATAAAAAGCCGTGTGGTGTCGTGGGACACCCGATAGGAACGACGTTGTGACGATCGAGTAAAACTGATTTGACACGATTTTAATTACAACGCCATCTATGAAAGCGGCTATTACCTACATATTTTTCAGTTGGTTTCTAATTAAAACAATTTATACATTGGTAAAATCTCCTTGAGAAATGATTTCCTATCTATTCGATAGATGGCGCTGAATGACTGACAAGTGACAATTCAAAATAAATACTGAAATGAAAAGTAATGATTTCCTATCTATTCAATAGATGGCGCTGAATGACTGACATAAAAAGTGTCGTTACAAATTTTGGTGACATTTTTTTCCGTCTAGCCCCTTTTCACAACGCGCGATAAGGAACTTCGTTCCAATAGTATGTATTTACAAAATAAATGTATATAAGTATTCTATTAGTCAATCTAGCTTTCATAGTACAAGTTCTGCTTAGTTTGAAACTAGGTGGCATAATGTGCTAGATGTCCCAAATATTTATTTATTAAGATTAATTGTCCCTTCGACAAGTTGCGTCGATCTACATCTTTTTCTTTTTTGGCATTTAGGAAACCAATAACATATAACACAATGATACGCCACTATTTTTACAGAATAAAGACTTCAATAAAAAAAAAACAAAGGATGGCCAAACAAATATCGACCTATAAATCACAACACTACACACACTACAACTATTGTAATTTACGTAATGAATGAAAAGGACATTTCAAAAATAAATCTACGGGTACTGAATTGTTATTACTTTGCACCATTATAAATTGAACCTCCTATCTTCCTATCAAATTAATCTATTTCAAATGCACCGCGCATTTGAAATAGATTAATTTGATAGGAATATAATTTATTTCCCGATGAAATGCTTTACTATCTTTTTGATAACTGGATGTCTTACTCGTAGCTGACTTGCCACACAATTTCACTGTACAGAAAGCCATTTCTAATATATGTTGATTAAAAACTATTTTACGTTGTCAAGAACTCAAACGTGCGTATGGGTCACGAACTTGGTCGTTATTAATGTCGTGATTCTTAGTGTCACGTCGTATGCTAGCTACAGCAAGTATGTGTTGCGCGCTTTCGTGGTCCTGTATGCGGAATTCCGAAATCTATTAGCGGGTAATCTGTGCTGGGATCATACTAGAAGCTTACCATTTCAAATAAAAAAATATTTGAAGATCGTTTCCTAAATGTCGGCGCTCTGGGGCATATATAAAAAGAAATAGAAGTAAATTAAGAAAAAACTTTTTGTTTTGAAGTCGGTTAAATATGACATTGCTAAATAATGTATAAAACCCGATTCTGTTATGTTATTTTCGTTGCTGAGTGTTTTTGAAATTATCTAACTATTTATAAGTTTTTTAGCGACGTCTGCGAATTCATCCACGTGGAATTTAGTTTTATTTGTCATTATTTTTGAAATTTAAATAATATATGCTACATAATTCTAACCAGTTTTTAATTAAATTGCGGAAATCTTGAAATTTTAATAATTTTTCTACTGTTTTGCAATTTTAATTAATATAAGTCTAATTTTAGTCCCAAATATACTCAGTCCACCAGTAAAAATTATATGAAAACCGATTCGATAATCTTGGCAATTATCCCAAGATTACCGAATCGCTGTTGTGTGTAACAGATAAACAGACAGTAAACTGTTTTAAAATTCACTGTTTTTTTGCTGTAGTAGGGGGACTCTGGTTAATTCCCTCACACGATTTCAAAATCCCTCAAATTTCAAAAGTTTTCTATGAGGCTTCATCGTCATCATCAACAGTCTTTAGTAGTCCACTGATGGTCATAGACCTCTCCTGAGAAAGGAAATTTTGGCCTACTAGTAGTAGCCCATGATGATAAATGTGGATTTACTTGAGCGTCATGGGAACCTATTGCATTTGAAAGATTAGGTAATAGAATGAATAAAAGTTATATGATGTTTCCACTTTCAGGGGTGGGAAAAGCTTCTACAGGTTTTCAAAAATCTTAGGGGAGGAAATCGAAAAAAAAAAAAATCGGCGCATCAGATATTTTGCGGATATGTTATTTGGGCGAAAGAAATGCTCCCATTGAAAGGTCTGACGATTTTAAAGTGACACTTGCTGGCAAAATACAGTTTTATCATAGAGTAAATTGTGGTAGCTTAATTATTCTATGATAAAACTCTATTTTGCCACTTTAGTTTTCGAGTGTATTTTCATTCACATTTTCTATTATTCTATTCAAATTTTCTCTTCTTGTTTCTTCTTCCATTGTTTGCTTCAAAGTAAAAAAAAATGTCAAGGTCATATGTGTTTTTTGGAACTTTGTGACCCTTCCACTGCTTTATGGTACGCTCAAATCGTCAGTTTCTTTTAAATACACACTAATCTGCATGTAATTGACGCAACTTATCTTCATCTTACACGCCCGAGTATTTTTGGCCATCCATTATTTTTAATAATCTGATGGGTTGCCTTAGACATCCCCCCTATATGTAGGGCTCATGTTTGGTGGAGGTAGACAACTGGGTCCTCCGTGTGGTGACGGATTAAGAATACGGAATGTCACTACCCCTATTCATCCCGTAGGTGTCGTAAGAGCCGACTAAGGGAGCAAACTACGGAGCACAACAGCACTGCAAAGAGAAGGAAAACTTGACACAAACGCTATACCAGCCCGTCTGGCCAGCGTAGTATAGTAGGCCAAAGCCTCCTTTCTAAGGAGAGGCATATGTTCAGCAGTGGACAATTATAGGCTGTTGATATTATGATGATGTGACACATTAGGGTGTAAGGTATTCCTTCTATGTTAATCTGACACGCTCGAGTAAATCCTGAAATCACTTCGAGGGCTCCCCTACTATATACCATGCTGGCCAGACGGGTTATACCAGGGTTTGTTTCAAGTTTTACTTCTCTGCATTGCTGTTGTGTTGTTTTGCTTAGTCGGCTCTTACGACACCCATGGTATAAATAAGGGTGGTGACATTCTTAATCCGTTCATCAACAGCCTTTAACAGTCCACTGCTGGACATAAGCCTCTCCTGAGAAAGGAGGTTTTTGCCTACTATTATAGTATAATTCGTTACCACACGGATAATACACAATATTACTTAGATGATATTCTTTTCGTCTCATAACTTTATTATTAATAATATGTTGGTATAATGCCTCGGCCTAATTCTTAGGTTAAATATTAGTGTCAGTAATCATCATCATCTACTTGCCCTTTGCCAATTTATTGCTATATACATATGATATTTAAAAAAAACACAATGTTGTCGCGCTTTCTGATCTCTGCTTCATCAGCCTGATACTTTATTTAGAAAAAAACCTGAGGAAGTGTGAAGAATCTGACTCGCACACGACGAGACGAGAATAAATGTTAGATAATGGATAGGAAACCTTTAAAAGATTATACGCGTATACACTGCTGTGCTAACCAGCCCATTATTTTCATCGTCTTATCTGTATTTATAAGTCACTGATTGTTCTTTTTTATTTTATGCACTGTCGATTTGTCATCCACCACTACCAAATGTTCTAAAGAAGAAAACAAGGTACATTTCATAAAAAAAAAACTGTTGTTGAGATATGCAAAAATTACTTTCACGAAGAAGTACCTTTAATTTAAGTGTTTTATGTCTGAAGTTAATGGGTATCTTCGGGCGGGAAATGCAATATTACGGTTAATATGTGAAAAAAGCATCTTAAGAAAACCACATTTTTATTTATGTTCTCATGCTATTTTTTTATTAAACAGTTCTCGGGAGAAGGCACTACTTTTAGTAGTTTATTTATTTAAATTTTAGTCTCCATAATTACTGTTTTGTCTATTCATTATTACAGACTATCGCAACACTACAAGCGGTATTATTATAACACTCATTACTTAAATTTAGGTTAAAAGCAAGTTGTGCATTGTGACTGTTTTGTTATTCTTAATAAGTTTTCATTTTTAACACTTGTTTTTAAATGTGAACTATTCTTGCATAACTAAGGACACGGATAACATGTTTAAACATTGTAGAACAAATTATGTCAACTACGACAACAACAACTACGAACTAACTTTCGTTTTTTAACTAGACTGAAAAATCGTAACTGAAAGCAGCCATTGTGTGGATAAGCGCTAGTGGCCTATCTCGTTTTAGAGCGACCAAAATTACAAGATCTTCTTGAGGTGTAATTGTATAACACAAAGTGTACGGTGGAGGGGTTGTTGTGTAGAATGCAGCGGCTCAACGTTTATCGGTTAAACTAAATAATATCACGGATTAACATTTACACATGCGGCCAGCGGTGGGTAGAGAGTCGCGAGAGCAGCAGTGACCGCAGTCGCTTTTCGCGCACCGTCTGGCCTCCGCGCACATTGCCGAACGCACGCTCACAACGTAACACACGCTTCCCGCCACAAATTCAAACATCGAGAACCTCATGTTCAAATAAAAGAAATAATTATTTTTGTTCGAATTGCGAATGAAGTGCATTGGCGCGTAAAGTCCGAACCAACGGCGACACTTGCCGCCAGTGTCCGGATTGTGTTGAGGACGTTGACATCGATATTGTGATACGGAAATCGATTTATCGATTTTTTAATTTTTAAATATGAAGAATTTTTGGCGGGCGGTTCGTGTTTCTTTTTAATTAGTTTTTTTCGTTTGTAGTGAAGGTGAATTCGGTGTTTTATTAAAGTGATGGAATAATGGTGAACTCGACTTAAAAAATAATAAGTGTTCTTTTTTACTACAATTTGAAGTTGACGACCATTTAAGTACTTAAAGGTAAGTTACTTGTTATATCTAGAGCAATAATTTTGCGGTAACTCAACGATAAATCTTTCGCTTTCTAAAGTGTCGACCATGAGTGTGGCTGCAGTAGCCACAGAGTTGTAATTGACCAAATTGTATCGATATAAATTAGTTCTTATTTATACAAAAATCTTGTAACACGTAGTTAAAAACTTGGTTTTGATTGAAAAGATTTATTAATTATCAGTTTGGGTAACATTCGGTTAAGTGGTGCAGCTTGTGCAAAAACTTGTTTTATGAAAGTAAACGGTGGTACCCTATATCACCCGCTGCGTTGCAACATTTCACTTTGAGATAAAATAAGGTAAAATGAAGAAAATAACTACATATTTCCTTTTAATATTTGTCTAAAATGCTGAGTACCTTAAAAATAGGTCACAACTATAAATTAACTATTAAATATGCTTATTTTTATTCCAGTTAGTGCCGTTCATAATCATTCAATTCGCAATTATAACTGTAATAAATTAGTTCAATTCATCAGTCGAAATATACATGTATCTACATAACAAAAGGTTTTTGTACTTGACAGCTATCAAACAAAGACTCCGATAGTAAAATATAAATATTAAAAAAAAAAACAGAAAAAAAGCTTTTGTATTAAGCAGGTTATATTATCACCCTGCCGGTTTTTTAATGATTTCCACTTTCAACGACATATTGAAAATAAAACTATGTAAATAGTAATGCGTTAAAACTATGTTACGAATGATTATTAATCTAATAGGTATAACTTGGCACATGTTTTACACGACCATCTAATTCTAAATTATGGCCTATATTATGGCAATCAGATCGTATTTTTAAATATATACGTGTTATACATAAATTACACCTAGGGATAGAGCAAATGATTGTGTTCATCTTATAATTATTTTGCTCTGGGAATCGAACTCACGACTTCTAAGTCAGCAGTAACCACTGAACCAACAGGCTAGTCAACATAACATTCATAGGTAAATGTGCTTGTCTATCCTTGTTACTCTAATGACAAAAAACAGAGCAATTTAAATACTAGTAAAGTTAGAAGAAGTACCTAAATAAATGTAAAATTTGTAAAAACAATCTTATTGACAAAGTAATAAATCCGACTTTTATTTTTTCTATTGGTGTCTTAAGACCCATTCTGTAATACTGAAACGAAAAATAAGTACCTACTAAGAAAAATTTGAAATAAAAAGAAAACCATTTCAACCGTATCTTAAGCCGATATTGGAACGAAATGTTTTATTGGTCAATGTTGAGATCTAATCGCCTAACAATTTACAAAACCGTATCTCTTAACAGTACGTATTAAATTGCAATACTGACATTATGTTACTACTGATAGTAGTACTAAATAACTTAACCAATTTCTGTCTTGTTAATCCCGTGCTTTATCATGGAATTCAAAAGAGGGTATTTGGTTTGATTTTTAAAGTAAACTAAGCAGAAACACCGACTCTAGAAGCTTGCACGGTTGTTCAAATAACAAATGATTAATTTATGTGTGAAAATTCTTTGTCTATTCCCCGGTATCGCCATAATATGTAAGCTTAATTCTAACTGCTATTTTTAATAAAAATGAATGAGTATGTATATCTGTTTCTAACTAAAAATTTTCAGTTCAAAAATTCTGCAAGACAGTTAAGTTCGTAGATTACATTCTCTCTATATCCCTTAAAAAAATAAAGTAGTTTTGTAATGAATCAAAAAATTACTTCACAGTAATTCCTTCATAGTTTACAAGTATGTGTTGTGCGGCTCCTACTTGGCAGAATTAAGAATCTCCAATTCGCTAAAGTCTGTTAACAAGTAGTATTGTTTATCTCCAGCTTAAAGAACCTGCAGTCAAAATAAAAAAAAAAACAAGTATGTAGCATTATAGATCAAGTTTATTTCAATAACAAAAAGATTCAAATAAGTCTATAAGTAGTCTTTGCAATATTGGTCAAATTTGATTAATATTTCGAATGTCAACGCAACTTATCTAAACGTTAAATTAAAGACATTACTTGTCAAATTAAGTCACTCTCTGACTTTACTATTTAAGTACAAATAGTTTAAATTTAGAATGAATGTTGTAACCTAATCTAAACTACTATTTATTAGAAACATGTTGGACGTAATAACGAAATAAAAATCGATAAAAAAGTGGACATTCGTGTATCGAGTTTAATATCGATCGATATAGAAAGTGAATGCGTGTGCTCCGCTACCGGCTGCTTTTTCACTCGAATGTTTGTGTGAACGATTCATGTTTTGCATGTAAATTGAACATTTGATGGTAAATATTTATGGATCATCCGTTTTTGTTGATTAGGTGATATTGACGATATCTTTAAAGTGCCGAGTTTCAATAGCGTGTTCAATTTGGTATAAACTACTGTTGATGTTGCTAAGGTTCAACTTACTGATTAAATTTTTTTCTTAAATATTTGAGCTATTAAACCCGTCTTTTTTGTTTTTTTTTTGTTATAACACCCACTTATTTCTACGTCCAATTACGAATTGGATGTAAAAAGTCCTAAATAGTGTGAATGTGTGTGTCTAAGCTCCCTGGACTATTACGCCCTCGTTTTGAAAATATTATAATTTTTATGGAACTTTTTTAATTGTTTGATAAGTTTAAACATGGAATTCAATTCTTAGTGATGCTCGTACACAATATTTGCAGTTTTCTCTAAATTACTCGTGATATAATAAGATTATAACAAAATCGAATTTGCAGCACTCGGATTGCATAATTATTGTCTCTAACATATTACACTTAAACAATAATGCAACAAGTCTTGGACTTCACGGCTACAACCAGTTAGAGTTACAGGTATGCGACGCCGGATTTCTTACACTCCAATATTTCTTCCTCTCTTCCTTCTCTTTCCTTCTTTTCTCTTCCTTTTTAATTAGTATTCGTATATATAATACCAAAGAGCCTTTTTCGTCATAATCACCTTTTATATACGTGGGACCAAATTTTAGTAGGCAAAGTGTGGGTGTTTAATGTGCCTACTCTTAAGCAAATATAGTCTTGAGTATAAACTTATGTATTTCTTTTAGAACCTCATCATTACCAGACTTTAATTAAGAGTATTTGCTATATGTGGTACCTTCTTACAATTCTTGGTTAATCCTGTTTGTTTTAGAAGCGATTACACATCGGAATTTGGTGGGCGGGGTTTGAACCTTGCGCTATCTTCAATTGAATTCAATTCTGCCTACAAGTTTTAATCGAATTATCTCTTACAGTCATGGCAAAGAATATTTTTTGCTTGCTGGTATGTTATTTAATAAGGCATTAAAGAAATGAAAGTGGTTCGGTCACTTGCTCGTGTCGAGAACTAACCGACCCAAGGTATTTACAACATATCCGTCAGTTTCAAAATCAAAGTTTTAATGTACAACTTTGTGTCTTATTGCCTTGGTCGAACACACAACAAGTTAAAAAAGGAATTGATTTCGGTCACTCTGACCTGGAGTGGTGTTGTTGTGTGCCTGTGGAATGACGTTTGTTTTCAGTGTATCTTACACTGACAGTCGCTGCAAGTACCAATCATTGTAAAAAATACTAAAATAGTAATAGTAAAATTTAGGGAAGTATAATTAGGACGCATAAATATTTTGTAGTATTGTTTTGACGCGCGATCAATTCTGATGTATAACGATATTTTAAATAGAGTCATTTCCTGTTAAAAAAGAACTTGTATCATGTATCTTACGTCAAGTATTTTACTAACTAAGTGATAATCCGTACGAGTAACAGTGGTAAATACTATCTTCTGTCCAGCAGAACATCTTACGTCTACGAGAGACCTATAACAGACAAAGACAGAAATCTACGTTACACTAGAATCATAAAACGAACCTGCCGCGACTTTTGATCGACCTTTGATCTCTTCAAGTTGTTTGAATTTCAGTCTTTTTTGCCTAACGGATGTTACGGTTTGGGTAAGAGATACCCTTATTCAAGACCTCTGAAAACAATAACATTGTACACCTTACAAATATTGCTATGATTAGTTCCGACTAATGTACTCGTATGTATAATAATGTATTATATAATAAGTTTATTAAAAATATCCAAAGTCGTGAGTTTACTAGTTTGTTTGTTACGCTTTCATATCTTAATTACTCAACCGATTATGATGAAATTTTGTATACGCATTGTCAGGGGTACATACATATACATAAATATATGAGACACATAACATGTGTTCTGTGGAAAAGAAATAAAGGGTTGCTCCCGGAGATAGAAAGATAACTAATATTTAAGTATCTGATAATGAAATGAAAAGTATGAATAGATGATCAAAATAAGTTTTTTTTTAATGAAAATATATAGGGGTTATGAATAGTTATGATATAAAGTGATTACCGTCACCTCTGAACTGGACTGAAATTCTGCAAACGCGTAATGTTTTTTATTGTATGATAGTGAATTTTGTTTTTTCTATGATATAACATTTATTGGCCCTAAACAAACAATAACTTTTTACATCGATTTCATTTAGTTTCCGTTGGGTCGTAAAACTGTAAGTTGATATAAAATGGAAGTCTGTTAGAAGGATGATGTTGGTTAGCCGTGCAACTAATTGTAGCTGTATTGGTCATTAAACTAACAACAGTTTACCTGTTTGTATTCTTTCGGAAGTGGCCTCTTTACTTAAACGCCTGGACGCGTTCGCGGATAGTGGCAATTTTCAATACCTGCTTTCTTTTTGTGTACTTTTTTGGAATCAGATCCTTAATAGAAAACAATGGAGCGTGGTTTTGAAAAATCGCCATATTTGTATTGCAGTGACTGTTGATCGATATCAAAAAAGGATAACACTTTATTTGGTACTTTACTAAACAGGATTCAGTTCGTAATTTTTTGATAATATAAAATAAAAGGGTTAAACGTAACATGATCATTAAAAAGTTATATTCATCAAGTCATCATCAGCAACAGCCTTTAGTAGTCCACTGCTTGTCATAGGCCTCTCTTAGGATTA